GTATTCCTGGGAATTGCCCCAAGCCTCTGGGTGAATGGTCAGTGACTGCCCCCATCTGGTGGGTGCTCTCCCCTTGCTGGAACTGTGAATTACCACTACAGTGTTCAATGAGGGCCTGTGAAACGTGGACTTATGCTTTTTGAATATGTGAACTCAACTCCTAGCAGCTCCAGGAGGGAAATGCTGGTGCTGTTTTGTTATTTTATTTTATTTTGCTTTTTGGGTCACACGCAGTGATGCTCAGGGGTTACTCCTGGCTCTGCACTCAGGAATTACTCCTGGTGGTGCTGGCGGACCGTATGGAATGCCGGGGATTGAATCTGGGTCGGCTGCGTGCAAGACAAATGCCCTACCCACTGCACTATCGCTCCAGCCCCAAGTTTTGTTATTTTTATTGTGGTGCATGCTTTAGGCATACAGTGTTCCAGCACCGCAGCTATCTCCAGGGTGTTAGTGTCTCCAGGCCCCCTCATACCATGTCTGTAGATGGGCTTTCAGGGTCTGATGCTATTGACTATTCTTTCTGGTGTAGATTTGATGCCTCTCACCAGTGGAGAGGCTGTTTCAAGCCCCTGATGACTGTTGCACTCATGAGTGTTAGGGATTGTAATTTGCTTGAGGGTGGCAGGAGCCAGGACTTCCCCCCCATATCTCTAAGTGAGCTTGGATGGATCCTCAATCATGAAACTGCACATTCACACCCTTCCTTGAAAAAGGCCTTATGGGTACAAGAAGATGGTGCAAGAGGCTGTGGTGAGATGCAGGGGCGGGATGCTGGTGAAGGATGAGGGATGATGCTGCAGATGCTACTGTAGGATTACTGTTGCTGGAAGGTCTTTTTCATATTAATGCCAGCCTTTAGGTAAGTTAGTATTTCTTTTTAGTTTAAACTCAGGCTCAGGCATGGAAGCGACTTGTTTAAGGTCACACTTGCTGGCTATTTATTGAGTCAGTATAGACATATGCTCGAGCGGACCCAGTAACGTCTTCATTGGAGATTTTGCCTTGTACGCAGCCAACATGGCCGACCCGAGTTCGATTCCTCTGCCCCTCTCGGAGAGCCCGGCAAGCTACCGAGAGTATCTCGCCCGCAGGGCAGAGCCTGGCAAGCTACCTGTGATGTATTTGATATGCCAAACACAGTAACAACAAAGTCTCCAATGGAGACGTTACTGGGCCCGCTCGAGCAAAATTGATGAACAACGGGAGGACCATGACCGTGATAGATATATGAACTCTAGATTATGTGTGTTTCCACATAATTTTTTTCTTATTTTGTTTTGTTTTCCTGCTTGCTTTCTTGCCTTCATCTTTCATGATTTTTCTCTAAAAAGTCTGTCTTCAGTCTTAGACTAAGTTGTTAAGAAGCTGTCTTAAGTATATTTTAAGTATATATATTACCTATTTTTCTTTGCAACCTTTCTGAGTTCAGACCCTGTTTTTTGTTTTTTTTTTTTACTTAAAAAATTAAAGAGTTTTGACTTCTTTTGGATATATGTAAAAGAATTCACCAAGCAGAAAGCCATAAGATTTCCAAAGCTTTTATTTTAATTCTCTTCATTGATTTTAAACAACCGTCAGTCTATTTTTATTTCACAAATTTGGCAGTGGCTTTTGGCCCAAAATAGTCATAGTCTGATGATCATATTTGTGAATATTGGCACACTATTTTTATGTCTCTTCATTCCACTGGTCAAGTCTTTATTCTCATTACAGATTACTTAAAAAGTTGTCCATAAAAATGTAAGAAGTTCTTGAATCCTAAGACAGAGTTCTGCAATTTTGCATCTTGGAAAATAGTTGTGGTTTCTTCTTTTGCAATTAGTCCTTGTTCAGATGCACAGAATTGTGCTTTGTTTATTTTTGCTTTTCCTTTTCTGTTTGTGCAGAAAACATCTGCTATACTTGTCTCTTGAATACAGTTTTGTGAACAGAAAGCAAATTGAAAGCCTGTTAACAATTTCCCTGATTGCTGTTTTTATCTAAAACAGCAGTTATAAGATTGAGCCACTAAAGGAATCCTTTATCATAGAAAGAAAAGCATTTTCTTTCCAACCTTGGTACTTGACATGTAAATTAGGATGGAAGAGTACACTACTACCCTCAAAAAGATTTAGATTCCTCACTTTTATCCTTTTCATTTCTTGAGTTTTCTAGTATTTATGATTTTTTTTCTTATCTGTTTTTAGCTGAACCTTGTTAATTGTGTTCATGTCACAGGATGTCATAAGACTTCTGTTGTATTCAAGATTTTGCTTGAATTGATTTCTTATAAACTGACTTTACTCCTTTTCTAACTATCTAGCGATAATCAGAATATATTGCTTGATTAATTTTGAAAGATGTGTTATTCAAATGAAGCCATCCACAAAATGCTGTCATTTTCAAAGACACTTGTTCAAAGAAGGATAGTTGTCTCTCATAGACACAGACCAGCAGCTCCAGGGCTTGAGAGGTCTGAATGGCCTGCAGGTGTTTTCACATTGTATATAACGTTGATTCTCTGAGAACAGGGATTTATTGTTAACCAGCATGCAGAAATACCATAGCACATTCTCAATGTCTAGAAGTTCTGTTACCCTGTTTTCTCAAAGGATTTTTGGTTGGGGTTTCTTTTTTCCCCTCTTAGAATAATCACCACAAATCAACCATTTTACTACCCTCTGCAGTAATATTGGAGGGTCACTTTGAAAATCTGGTTTACTGTAAATTCAGTAGTGTTGATTTGTTGCAGAGAAGAATAATAGAAAAACCAAACTCTCCTACATCACAGGTTTCTATAGAATCTGAGTTTTAGAAGGATATTTGTGATTTTAGTGTGTACCATAAAGTTCGAAGCAGCTTTGTGATCCCTCAGTCATTGTCCATGGTGAAGTGCGGCTGTGCTAGAATGGTGCCTGTTCAGAATCTCTTTTGTTCTAGCAAGATTGATGCTCTAGCTCTTCCAAAACTAGGGTTGGAGCAGTAGTACAGCAGGTAGGGTGTTTGCCTTGCATGTGGCCAACCTGGGTTTGATCCCTAGCATCCCATATGGTCCCCTGAGCACCACCAGGAGTAATTCCTGAGTACAGAACTAGGAATAACTCCTGAGCATTACTGGGTGTGACCCCTCCCCCCCCAAAAAAAGGTGTGTATTTTGAGCTCATACTTCTGGCTGATACCCAGAAGTATGAGCCCAGAGAAATTCATGATCTTTCTGTGCAGTTAAAGGCTCAGTTAAAGGCTCTAAGTCTCGGTCACTTTCCTGTTGTGGGGGCTTCGAACCCTTCTGGCCAGTATTTCTTCTCCTCTGGCAGCAGTATGTAAGGGAAGACGTGCGTTTGAAAGGACCCTTGCCATACTGTTTTCAAGTACTGCTGAAGAATTAGCTAGTGCTGCTCTTTGTCAGCTGAGAAAAAAACTGTAGGAGGGATTTTCTCATTTTTGTCGTCTCAGAGACCAGACTCACTCTGACCTTCTCCGAGCCTCCTGTCTCGTAGAAGGTCTTGCCTCCCCCAGATACTCCTTGCACCTCAGTTCAGTCTGACTCTCCTCTTGTGCCCAGGCTAGATAATTTCCTCTCATTATAGGCTCTTTAATTTTTCCTCATGGTATTTTTGCACTAACACCTTTCCCAGTGCACCTTTGATTCCTGAGTGCAGAACCAGGAGTCACCCCTGAGTCACACTGGTTCTGTATTATGTCTGTGGCAGAGATCGTTTTATTCTCCTTCATTGTGGCGTTTCTGGTCTAGCTCCGTTCTGGTACAACAGTCTGCTCAAAGATTCCTGTTGAGTGAATGAGTCTTCTCAAGACAGCTTTGGAAATCCTGCTCCTGAGCTGAAGCGAGACGTTAACCACATACAGCCCTAGTGATGCAGAAGGGGAGTTCTCTGTTCATCAGTTTAAGGATTTGATCGTCTTACGTTTACCAAAACTGAAAGTGTGATGATTTGTTCCTTGACTCTTGTTAAAATTGTCTCGTGTCAGAATATCATGTCATCACACAGAGAAACCAATCACACTTGTTTCTCTGGCCTGTTGTTATTTTTACTGACCTTGCCAGTGTTGGTCCCCAGTGTTAACAAGAGTCACACATTGTGGCATTTGTGCTCTCCGTGGTAGGTTGCTGTTTTGTTTTCTGTCCTGCTGTCTTCCTCTTCGTTACAAGATTCTCTGGGAAAGTAGCCTTACGACCTCCCCCTTTGCTGCCATTCTGCCATCCCACTGCCCACCGTCCCAAAGCATGATTCTAGGATTCTCTAAAGTACGTCCAGTAACTGATAGGAAACGATGATAGTAATCGGTCTTAACTTGTCAAGGGTGGTTGTGTCTTATTTGCAAAATTAATTTGATTCTATCGCTGGCATGGGGGTTTGTGAGAAGTAGCAAGGAAAGTTGTGAAAATGGAATGTTTGTAAGGGGTTAGGAGTTGGGTGGGACAGGAGCTTTAACTCTAGAGATCAGGGATCAGGCTGGCCTTTCATATAAATCAGGCTTTGAAGTGAGGTTGTGGATGTAGGGGAGAGCTTACCTGTCACTGTGGTTTTCACAGAGAGTGACTCAGCCGATGAGCTGGAAGCATGATTAGATTTCTTTCTGACCCTCTTCTTTCCACCCTGCCATTTATTGTTTCCCCATGAAAATGAGACCCAGGACATCTTGGACTCGGGAGAGTGATTGTAAAGGACCTGACAATGGGGAATGAAAACGCACATCTGGGGGAGCCCTAAATGACAGCGCTCAGCCTCATTTCCACTAGACCGTGCACTTGACTCCAGGAAGTAGGAGTACCCGACTTCCTGTCTTGAAGTAACAAAAAAATCATCTCCTGTTGGATGCTCACTCCCTAAGATGTTTTCCTCCTCTCCATGTTCTCATTCCTCCCACCGCCCTTCTTCCTCCCAAATGCTTTTTCCTGCCTGCTGATGGTTTGGGCTGCTTCCTTAGTGAAAGCGCCTCTTATTTGCTGATGCAATTACCTCTGCAGCTGAGTGATTTATTTCTTTGTCTTAGGTCAGTTCTGAACGGGCTTTGCAAAGTGGAAAAGAAAATTCAGTCTGCTTTTGGAGGGACATTGGACAGCCGAATAAATGCAGGTATGTACATTTGCAGATTTTTATAAAAGAAATAGTTCTTTAAAAGAATAATCCGTGATCTTAAACAAATAGGGATAGCTGTGTTACCCTAAACATGGAATAGAATATAAGGAATATTAAGTGGATATTATAGTTTTTGCTTAATACAGGAGTTGCATGTGCTGGTTTCAATTTTTTCCAAAGGTGGGGCCAGAGAGAGGGAGAGGGGAAAGGGAAGAGGGGAGCTCAGTGGGCCTTAGCACTTACTTTGCATTCATGGGTCTGGGTTTGATCCCCGAGCACCTCCAGGGGTGATCCTGAACACTGGGCCTGTATAGCTCTTGAGTACCCTGTGGTCCACTGGGTGTGGCCTCAAAACAGAAACAAATTTTCAGTGGTACAGAAGTATCAGATTTATAGGAAGTAGAAAATAAAAGCAGAATCTCCCTTGAGCCCTGCCTGATCTCCACCTTGTAACCATTGTTGTCTGTTTCTGGATTGGGCCAATGTGTGAACCTAAGGTTCCTGGCATACATGGGCTGGGATCCTTGTCATTCTGCATCATCTTGTTTCTCAGTGTTGGTGCACGTCCCTCTTTGCCAGCTGTTTTTTTAAAATTTTCTTTTCTAATTTTTTTTTTAACCTTAGGCACCATGATTTATAATACTGTTATATGGTGAAGTTTCATGAGTACAGAACTCTAGCACCACACCCTCCTGCAGTGTCCCTGGGTCCCCTCTCCCTCCCCTGTCCTGGAAGCTTCCTTCTGAAGATGAGCTTTCTGGTACTGTTGCCTTTCGACATTTCTTCTTCTTCTTCTTTTTTTTTTTTTACTGTATTTTGTTATGTCCACATATGAGAGAGGTCATCTCTAGCATCCTTTTTAATAGCTGCTTAATGTGATATTTTGGGCTTGGGGCCACACCAGCAGTGCTTAGGCTTACTCTTGGCTCTATGCTCATGGATTACTCCTGGTGGGCACAGGGGACTATATAAGGTACCAGGGTTGAAACCCAGGTTGGCCATGTGCGAGGTGAAGGCCCTCCCCGTTGTACTATTGCTCCAGCCCCTGTCTAATTTGTTTTGCCTTGTTTGCGTTAGCAGGCTCTCTTCTCTTGGACATTTTGTTTTGCTACATCCTGTACATATATAATTATATAATTATGTGTTCTGTGTACCTAATGATTTCCTTGGGGTGAAAAGGTCTCAGGCCATCTGTGACTTCTTCCCCTGCCATGTCTGAATGACATCTCAGGAACAGATTTATGTTATGAAGCAGACTTAAGCTACTCTCTTTTCATCCTCTGTTTTTATTGTGGGGTAGAGTTGGGACCTCCTTTGCAGATGCTCTGTGCCTGACAGTTGATCTGAACCTCAGGAAGTTAGGAACTTTGTCACTCAGCGTGGATACTCATTTGGTTGGGGGACAAACCTGATGGTGGCCAGGGGTTACTCCTGGCTTGGTGCTTCCGGTAACTCCTGTTAGTCCTCAGGGCATGGGTCTGGAACCCAGGCCTCCTGGACAGAGAGCATATACTCCAGCCCATTGAGACAGTCTATCAGCATGTATCTGATAGATTCTGGGTTTCACGTTTATTCTGTTGATTAAATAAGTAAAATTTGTGTCCCCTAGTAAGGACCTCACCTCATCAGGGAACTGATGGACCAAGCCCATAAGTTAGATGTCTCACCCCACCCTCCTCCTGCCACCCCACAACAGGACTTGTCTTATTTGGAGGTGATCCCTTGGTGACTTGTAAATATTCATTGCGTGTAAACTCTGTGCTCACTAATGCTGCTGTCCTCCAGGACCTCATGGCATGTCTGAGAGAGTCTGGCCCCCTCGAATGAGATGGCTATGATTCTGTGTGAGGAGTTGGGGAAGGTGGACGGGCCAGTGTAGGAGATGGGCTCAAGGTTTGGAGGAAGTAACTCGGGCTGAGCTGGGTTCTAAAGAAAGTTGAAGTTTGCCACCACAGAAGGACAAGCCCTAAAAGATGTTCCAGGCAGTGAGGTCAGCCTGAGGAGAGCAGTGAGGCAAAAAATCCAGCATGGATAGGGGGACAGACCTGTTGGCTTCGGAGCATGAAGTGAGAGACTGGGGGTGAGAGAGAAGGTGAGACCAGTGAATCTAGTACTGGTGACTGGGGAGGGATGTGGGAACCAGGCAGGGGTCAGGGGCTCAGTGTATAGGCCAGTGTCGGAGGGAAGGGAGGGGGTAGATGGGCGCTGTTGACCCTTGTCCTTTCTGGCCTACCTGGGCCTGAGTTGCAGAGGTGGGTTCTTTTGTCCCAGCTGCCTGTACTTCCGAGGGGGCTCACACCTGTGTCTTACTTGCAAGGTTCTCATAGCAGGTTCTGAATTTTCCAGCGACAGACTTACTGCCCAGTACTGCTGCCCCAGAGCTGCCTGGACTCCTCTCATTCATTTCATGGCTCTTTTGTGGGGCCTGAGTGTGGTTCACTAATGTCTGTGTGGATGAGACAGCCCTGAGCCACATCTGGGGGTGTGAAAATGTGTGAACTGTGGTTTGGACTTTCTGCTATGCTCACTTTTGAAATATATTTTGTTTTGGAGCCGTACCAGTGATGCTTAGGGCTTTCTTCTGCCTCTACTCAGGGATCTTCCTGGTGGGCTTCAAGGACCCTATGGGATGCCGGGGATTAAACCTCAGTCAGTTGCATGCCAGGCACATGCCCACTCGCTGTACTATCTCTCTGGCCCCTAAAATGACTTTTCATGGGAGCTAGGCCCCCAGTTAAGACAACTGCTTCCTGCCATTCAGAAGTGAAGTGATTGCAGTGGATTAGGTAGCTGGCATGATAACAGAAATCCCTGTGCTTCTAAGAGTGACCCACGTGGTCAGCTACCACCTGTGTCCAAGGAGAGAAAGGACATTTGAGCAGGGTTGGAAGTAGATTTGGGTCCTGAGACTGCAGTGAACCATTTTCTCTGCATACTGGCGTCTCTCCCAGACCTTCCCCTGCTAGAAGCTCCTGAGGCCTTTGCTCCTGGGGATGGAAGGGAGGGAGAGGCGCTCACTACCCGGAACGAGAGTCTCTGCTCTGAGCTCAGTGTGACCATGTGGCTCCCTTCTCCTTCCTCCCCAGTATCTAAATATAAAAGAGGATTGCAATGCCATGGCGTTCTGTGCGAAAATGAGGAGCTCCAAGAAGACGGAGGTGAGCCTGGAGGCCCCCGAGCCCGGGGTGGAGGTGTTCTTCTACCTGCCCGACCGGGAGCCCCTCCGACTGCGCAGCGGCGAGTACACAGCCGAGGAACTGTGCATCAAGGCGGCGCAGACGTGCAGTGAGTATGGACCCTGTGACCGGAATTGGGGTCACTAGGAAGGAGCTGTGGGTTCTGGTTTGGGCCTCCCGCCCTGCTCCGCCATTCACAGGCCTCAGGCGAGTCTCGGAATTCTGAGTTGCTTTTCTCTACTCCCTTTGTCGTTATTTCTCCTTTGTCACGGCTGAACTGTGGGTGCCTAGGGGAGAATGTTCACCTCTGGGGAAAGTGCTCAGGTTATTTCTCCCTTCAGCGCCTCACCCGAAGTCACTGGCCCTGAATGACCTCATCTCTCAGCATCTTTCAGTCTAGTCTCAGCATCTCATCTCATCTCTGGGGAAAGTGCTCAGGTTATTTCTCCCTTCAGCGCCTCACCTGAAGTCACTGGCCCTGAATGACACCATCTCTCAGCATCTTTCAGTCTAGTAATCACTTAGAACCATTTCTGAAGAGTGTCTGAGAAAGGCACACTCCCTTGAATGCGCACACCCACACACGTCCTTCCTTCTGCCGCCCTTCATGGTGGGCTTTTCTTAGGAAGCTCAGCCTATTTCCCCTCAGAAGGTGGCTAACAAATATTTTTTCCATCTTCAGTGGTAGGGCATTTGCCTTGCTTGCGGCCTGCGTGACTCACCCAGGTTCGATTTCTCTGCCCCTCTCGGAGAGCCTGGCAAGCTACCAAGAGTATCTCGCCGGCACAACAAAGCCTGGCAAGCTCCCTGTGATGTATTTGATATACCAAACACAGTAACAACCAGTCTCATGATGGAGACGTTACTGGGCCTGCTCGAGCAGATTGATGAACAATGGGAGGACAGTGCTACAGTGAATATTTTGACAGCTTTTGTCTATTTAGAGATCCACGTGGATCATCATGCTAGTTTTCCAACTCTGTAAATACTCTAAAATTCGTTGAAGGAAGATCAGGATTTATGTGAATTATATTTTAGTCAGTTATTTAAGAATATTCATTTTATGATGTTGTAGTAACTGACTATGATAGGAGATATGTATTCTATGCTTTGTGTCTTAGTTTTTAAATCTGTTTTTGGGGTATAGGGATCAAACCCAGTAAACATGTGAAACATGTTCTCTGCCACTGAGCTTCATTTTATTTAGAGAGCCCGGCAAGCTACCGAGAGTATTCGATATGCCAGACACAGTAACAACAAAGTCTCTATTGGAGACGTTACTGGGCCTGCTCGAGCAAATCGACGATCAACGGGAGGGCCTTTACCTTTTTTACCTTTTTTTATTGAAGCACCGTGAGACATGCAGTTACAAGGTTGTTCATGATTGCTCTTCTCTGCTTCCTTCATCGTTTAGCATCAGTTATATCATATTCCAACACCTGTCTCTTCACCAGTGTATGTTTCGTACCACCAATGTCCCCAGTTTCCCTCCTGCGCCCCCTCCACCTCACCACCCCCTGTGCGAGCTACATCTTTGACCCCTTATTTTATCTTTAGCTCTTAGAACATCTCTGTCAGAATGGTATGATTATTTTTTTTTTATATAGGAGTACTGCTATTTATTCAGCCACTGATTAGCTGATTAAATTGGGCATGAACTCCACCTTACTTTTTTTTTTCATAGTTGTATTTATTTGTTTTTCGTCTTATATTTATTTATTGAATCACTGTGGGAAAAATTACTAAGCTTTCAGGTTTAAGTCTCGGTCATACAATGATCAAACACCTTTCCCTTCACCAGTTCTCACTTTTCACCACCAAGAACCCCAATATATCCCCCCTCCCACCCCACCCAATGCCTGTGAGGCAGATGATTTCTACTTAACTCTTCTCTACATTGATTACATTCATCATTTCGACAAAGGATGCAACGTTATTGTTTAGAATTTCCCCCCCCAACAATCAGAATTGCTGAAAAGGCATTTTGAAATACTTTGTTTTCTATAGCTGGTTACGAAAATCATATAATGTTGCACGGCTGCTGTTGCGGCGACGCAATTTTGGATTTCTGCAAAGAGCCAGATCATTACGAGATTGGTCTCTGTGCGTCTGGTGTTATGGTTGTGCTGGAGAGCCACTCGTGGGGGGTAACTCAGGACCTCGGTAAGGCGTGAACGAGATGGTACTGCCCCCCTTCCCATGAGACTGCAGTTGCCTCGTCAGTGCCGGCTCATACCTGGCTTTCCTATAAGCTCTGAGGCGGCGGCCACCTTGCTGCTGGTGGGAAGAAAAGGCGGAAGGGAGCAACACCCTTTCCCTCCCGGGGAGGCATGGTCCAGAATGTTATGATTATTTCAAGAATCACCTATTCTGTCAGTAATATAATTTGTCTAGGAAATCTGTTTTCTTCTTGATGTCTTTCTTTCTACAAAAAAAGAATGCCTTTTTTATATCAGAATTCCAATAAAGAGGATAGGCTGGTTCTGTAGGGAAGAGTGTAGCTGACTTTTACTAAACATGCTAGATACTGAACATACTTGGCTGAGGGGCTGGAGAGATAGGACAGTTACCAGGGTGCTTATCTTGCATGCATTGATCCTGGCTCAGTCCTAGCACCCCATGTGGTCCCCCATGTTCTCTCAGGACTGATCCCTGAGCTCAGAGCCAAGAATAGGCCAGGAGTACTTCCCGGCCCTCAAACAAAACAACAAACAAATCAAAATGTATGAGTAGTAGCTTAGCAAGGGGAAATACATGGGTATTTTAACATTATTTTGACTAGATGGGTATATGGAGCTTTAAAAGTATTGGGGATGGGGCTGGAGTGATAGCTCAGTGGGTAGGGCATTTGCCTTGCATGCGGCCTACCCGGGTTCAATTCCCAGTATCCCATATGGTCCCCTGAGCACCGCCAGGAGTAATTCCTGAGTGCAGAGCCAGGACTAACCCCTGTGTATTGCCAGGTGTGACCCAAAAAGCAAAAAAAAAAAAAAAGTATTGGGGATTAGTGTAGGAGTTAATATAAATGAGAATATCTAAGGGCTTTTTTTCTTAAGTCCTTGTGCCCTTTCCCTGGAATTCTGTCTGGGCTGCTTGCTCCCTTAGCCAGGCTTCATGCTGGCTGCAGAGCAGTTTCCACCCTCAGTTTGTTACGCAGAGAGTCAGTTCCTAATGGTCAGGCTGCAGGCCCAGAGAGAGAGGAGATGTCCCTGGGGAGAGCCTGTGGCCACTCTATCTCTTGTGGGCACTCTAGCTCGAGTCTTACTCTGAGTCAGTCAGTTTGGGGGGCAGTGGCTAAGCTCAGCTGTAGAGAAGGGGGAATTTTTTTCTTTTTTGTAACTGCCTGAGAATCTTTCAAAGTTTATTATCTTAAAAAAAAAATGAAGTACATTGGCCTTAAATGTGTGAAGCCCTGGGTTTGCTACTTGACACCACAAAACAGAAGAACACTGGCCTTGAATGTGTGAAGCCCTGGGTTTGCTACCTGACACCACAAAACAAAATAAAATACCACAAATACAAACTACCACAGATTCTTGTAACTGTCAGTAATACTCTCACTAAGGGTATTGTGATAGTATTAATGACAGCCGATACCCTCTGTCACTAGTATATATGGAGAAGCGGGGCGGGGGACACACATGTTGTTTTCTGCCTTGCTTTTCATCAGTATATGATAAGGCTTTGTTCCTCTGGCTGTTTTTTGGGACCTTCTTTCTCTCTGTCACGTTACTTGAATCCCACCTCAGCCTTTTCCTAGACTTGAACAGTCTTGGTTTTGGGAGGCAACACTGGTTTCATCTGTTAATTGATAAAAATAGTGACTCATTAGGTGTGTCAGGAGCATTAATAACTCATAAATTAAAGCATGTTAGCTTGATGTCCAACCTTAGCTTTCCACAAATGTTATTCTATAATTCTTCAATACTTTTATGAAAAAGATAACTTTCTTCTTCCTGTTTATTTAGTCATTGCATTGCTAGACCCATTGGAATCAGAGTCATTGATAGAATGGCAGACCCATGATTGCAGATAAATGTGACTCAAATGTCCTTGTGAGAGTGCACACTCAAATATGGATACATAGTGAAGAAAGTCTATGTTTCCAAGCCAGGCCACTAATGCCAGTTTGAAAAGTAGAGTGAACCTGAGGCCGTCTTAATAACTACATCCTAAAGCCATTTGCCGTTGTTTCCCAAGGAAAATGCTCTTGAAAACTGAGCACCCTAATCTCTGTGTGGACTGGCATGTGACTCCATAGCAAAGCACACGTCTCACACGCTGATGACTGGGTTCCAACCCCAGCTCTGCAAAAACCAAAAACCCAAAGCGTCGTTGCATGCTTTGCATTGTAGAGAGGTGTACCACTTCAGAGTTGGTACCTCCCAGTAGCTCGAGAGGCAGAATCTGGGTGTACCGCAGAGACCTTGAAGTACCCGGATCTCTTGTGCCTCCCCCCACCTCCGCAAGCTAACACTCTTTCCTGCCTGTGTGGGCAGGCCCATGGGGCCCTGTCAGTATAACATCACGTCCACAACATGTATCCAAAGGGTGGGAGGTGGGAAGTTATGCCAGTCACCTCATATCTTGCCATATTTTCAACTCCACTTAACCATGAGGCTTTGCCACGAGCAGACAGCTCAGTAATAATTGATGATTAGCAATCATTCTCCTCCCGCTCCTACACTTAGGTTCAGATCTAAGTCATTTTCACTGTGGATTCAGAAGTGAGTGGGAAGGCACTTGCCTGGCTTTATCCTTTTCCCTTTCAATCCTTTTCGTGTGAGTGGAGACAATTTGATGGGCAGGGAGGCAAGGGAACATCACCGGCCAACTTTGTTAAGCATCTTCTTGTTCAGTGGATACTTGTGAAAAGTATCTATGATAACTCTACAGAGTGCTTAAGAAGTATATTCATTATTCATGGCAATAGATCTTAATCACTGACAAAAAACACTTTGGTTATTCTAACCCACATTTTGTGCTCCACTGCCAGGAGGGTCTTTGACTGTTTAATGTATAATAATCACAGCATGTTAAAATGGTTTAAATGTTTTCTGTAAGAGACAGATTAGGGATTTCCAAACTCCAGGAATGCTTCTCACTGTAATTATCTGTGCATCCCAGGTGGGATTGGGAGGATTTAAGGAGACTGTCATAGGCATCAATAATGAGAAATCGCATTACACTTTCATTTAAAATGCTTGTAATAGGAACGTGAGTGCCTATTTCTGGGGAGCTGTCATTCTTGATTTCAATTTCAGACTGCCTGACTTCACCTGGTTGGAAGTTGTGTTTATGCCCTGGATTCTTTGGGGGTGGGAGAATTTTTTGTTTCTGCACCTATTGTGCTTTGGAGACAGATGACCCAGTGCCCCTCTCTCTCGTGTCTCATAGAGTCTGTGCTTTTCTCTAGGTATTTCTCCTCTGTGTCACAACCTCTTCGCTTTGTACGATGACAACACGAAGCTCTGGTATGCCCCAAATCACACCATCACTGTCGACGACAAAACATGGCTTCCGCTGCACTACCGGATGAGGTATGGGCTGTGCAGAGCAGTGCTCTTGGCCTCCTGACACCTGGGGAACGACAGTTCCCTGGGATCCTCACTTGCTCTTTATGAAATGTGGCACATAGGACATCATTTGTAGGTTTTTTGAATCCTCTGAAGGTTTGTATCTTCTTGGCACGAGCAAGGACTTGTATGTGAAATGCATTTCACTCCATGTCTGATGACCTTCCGCAGTCACATTTTTAGAAAAGAAGTGTTATGATGCGCAGGGTTTCTTTGAGTAGATTTAGCATGCTAAGTACTCAGACAGTCATGATTATGAATTTAATTTGGTGAGTTGGGACCAGAATTTTTTTTAAATGTCAGATGAGAATAGATGTACGTGTACATACCCTAGTAGTATGTATATACATATTCTTGCTTGAAATGTATAATATATATGTGCTAGGCCGGGGCTAATTAAATTTTTATTTCTGACCTAAAGGTTGCAGCTAAAAAGCTAACTGCCTGAAGGGATATCTTGGGGCTTCTAGATGGGTCTTGCCTCCAGAACTGCAGTTTGGCTAAGGGAGCAAGAGAAAAGCATTCCTCCATGGTGCTCAGAGATTATTCCTGCAGTGCTTGGAGGATGTGGCCAAGGAGGATCCAGCCTGGGGCCCCCACATGTAAAGTACTCCAGCCCTTTGAGCCACTTTCCTGGCCTGGGCCTGGACGCTTCCATCTACTCCCCGTAGACTCTTTTCTTTAGGTGTTTGCCTCTCTGCCTGTTCTCCCCGCCTCTTTGAGACTTTGTTAACTCAGTCTCCTAAGGTAAAGTAGACCGCAAGTGCTTCACAGCTGGCTTTCCTGCACGTGAGTGTGTTTGTTCTCTGCCTAGGACAGAGACTATGTTTATTAAATACTAGCTCAGCACGGTGGATGTGTGTTTAGCACAGGAACTTAGGAGTAGCGTGGATAGTTTTGAAAGGATCTTAACTTCTGCCACTGTGTAGTCAGTGGCATGGCCCAGGGGCAGTTGGACAAGCCCAGGAGGAATCTCAGATGCTCTTCTCAGTTCCTTTTTTGTTTGTTTCAGTTTGGGGGCCACGCCCAGCTGTGCTCTGGGGTCACTCCTGGTGGTTCCTCAAGGGCCCTATGGGATGCCCACAGTCAAACTGGTACGGTCACATCCCCTTCTCCAGCCCTCTCCTCAGTGCCTTTAATCATCTCGCTTCTCCTTCTAAGGCGAGTCAGTGAAGTTGTTACCATTCTAGAGTGGCCTGCCTGCATTTCTTTTTTTAAAAGGAGAGATGGGAACGGAAATGGAGGACGGAAGGTCAGAACAGAGGAGAGGGGAGTTGTTTGTGATTATTTGACGGCTTGGGTGTGGGGGGTTGGGGGGCTGCCCACCCAGTGGTTCTTGGGGACACTGCAGTTTGGGGGTTAGCCTCTCCAGTCCCTTTGCCCATCTCCCTGGCCTGCCTGGATGTTTGTCTCAGGGAAAGCTGAAGAAAGCTGAACCACAGCCATTTTGTTTATATTGTCATCCCCAGGCTTTACTGTTTTTTTTCCCCCCTCTCCTGTTCACCTATGGTTTTCACTTTATGAGAAAAGGTGTGTGTTGAGAAAAGATGTGTGTCGCATAAGTGAGATTTCACGCCCCAGAGTGAGGTAAACATTGACCCCACCCAGCTGAGCCCTCAGACTATATTTGGATTCGTTTACTTGGTGCTTTGTGGCCTGGGGGTGACTGTGGGGTTCTTGTGGAAGGTGTGGTCTGCCTGCCCCTAGGAATGGTGCAAGTCAGTGGCTCTGCTTGCTTTGGAATTTGGAATGAGAGGACTTGGGAAAGACCTGAGCTTCCCTAACTCAGCTGTACGAAGGTGTTTTTTGGGGAGTTGCTGCGCCAGAGAGATGAGGTGCAGCCACATAGCCAGTGAGACAGCTGGGTGGCGTGGGAGCATCTGTCTCTGAGAACGCATTGTGTGGTATGGTGTGAGCATTGTTGCCTCTGCTCGTGCTTCTTGGGGTAACTGCCTTCCGGAAGTGCCCGCCGCCTCAGCCCTGGCACCTTGACTCTCAGCCTGACTTTGCTCTTCCACAGGATATCGCTGTGTTACCACAGGTGCTTTGAACTTGGGAAGAAAAGATCCCACCCCAAGTTGCAACATTTGCATTACAACAAACTACAAAAGAATTGAAACCTCAGTCTCAACCACTAAAGAAGGTGTAATAGAAAAATAAATTTTGGTGACTATTTGAATGGAATCCCAGCTCTGTTTTGGAAAACGCTGTTGTACTTTTACTTGCAATTTTTTTTTTGGTAATAATATTGATGTTACTGTTTTATAATATGATTGAATATAGGCAAGCATATTCTTTATTCCTTCTTAGGAAAAAGTATCCATATATTTCCTTGCTTGTCTTTTTTTTTTTTTAATCCAAAAATGGATTTCACTATCTGTAAAGTTCTGTAGAAAACTAACAGAGGTTTTTTTTTTTTTGGGGGGGTGGTGGCGGAGGGCTGGTCACACCCAGCATTGCTCAGGTATTACTCCTAGCTTTGCACTCAGAAATTACTCCTGGGCAGTGGATGGGCAGACCATATGGGATGCCAGGGATCAAACCCGGATGGACTTTGTGCAAGGCCCTTCTCACTGTGCTACCATTCCAGCCCCAAACTAACGATATTTTGCCATGTATAATAGTTTTTCCCCAAATATGCAAGCACAGCGTATCTCTGATAGATCTGTGTGACTCTCCCTCCCTCCTGTCTTCCTTCCTGCATTATTCCCTGGGATATAGACCAGCATTTCTCAAGAGGAGCCATGTGGCCCCCTGTAGACCCCTAGGATATTCTAAGGCACTGTAGGTGAAAATCTCATAAATGGGGCGGGGCCATGACCCGACTAAGGGACACCCAATAGGAGAGGGGGCCACAGAATCAAAACAGAATTGGAAAGACCACGCTTGGAGAAAAGGTTGAGAAACACTGATCTAGACAGCTCTCATACTCGTCCAGTTATTTTACTCGTCCATACTCCTGTGTGGTATCTGTGTGTGGCCATATTTGCTCAACATGTCTGCAGTTAACCCAGGCATTTCTTTTGGCGTTGTGCCATCTAGTTTCACCATAGGAGGAGGCTAGTTTTACTAGTCGCTGGTTGAAAGTTTGGTTTCAGTGGAGTGCCTCAGGCCCCCGGCATTTTTATGGCTCCACAGTAGTGTTTTGACTTCATTTACAGAAATAGTAATGCCAGCTGGATCGTGCTTATCTTCTTATCAGCACAGTCGGGGAGTAGAACGTTCAGCGTCTGAGACAGTGTTTTATGGAGGACAGCGAGGTGCATGCAGCTCAGGAAAGTCACAGCACACTGCCCCTGGCGGGCAGGCAGACAGGCAGGTGGGGACTGTGCCCGAGAGCCCTGTGCCTCCCAGTGGCTGGCACACAGGCCATTGTGCTCTCGGCTCTGCAGAAATGCTCGGGGTGTGTCTGAGTGTAACCGTCGCGCTTGCGAAGAAACTTATTTGCCTTCCCTGATTGTCCCCTCTCAGCATGCGGGCATGCCCAGGACAGTGCTAACCCTCTCCGTGTCCTGCGGACAGCCCAGGCAGGATGGCTCTGTCGCCTTCATGCGATCCAGAAGTTCTCTTTCTCTTGTCGGTGATGAGGAGAATGGCCTACAATGAGGCCATTCAGGCCTTGGTTTTGTCTCTTCAGGCCTTGATTTTCCTCGTCTGTGAAGTGGAGACAGTGCAGTTCACCTGGGAGGGTTGCTGTAAGAGCTATGTATCATGGAGTATGGAAAACCTGTGACGCTGCACCTGATGCTCGTAGCAGGGTTTCTGTTATTTCTTTAGTTTAAAAGTCACTCGTTGGGGGATGTTCTCCACCTTGGGGGGGTGCCCACTTCTCAGCCTGAGGTGTGTACACATTGCTGTAACCCTCTGGAGAAGCCCATGTTTTTGTGTTTCTCTCTCTCTTCTCTCCTCTCTCCTCTGTCTCTCCCCCTTCTCTCCTCTCTGTCCTCTCCCACCCTCTTGCCCTCTCGCCCTTTGCCCTTTCTCTCCTCCTCCCTCTCACTTTTCTCTTCCCTTCCCGATACCTCCTTATCTTCTCCTCCCCCCACCCCCCCAAAACAAAACTATATTACTGCAGACAGGCACATACAGTGGGGCCGGGCAAGCAGGTCAGAGCTTCGCCTGTGGGAGCTCTGGGGTTCACCCCCAGCCCTTCCTGGTTCTCTAAGCACTGTATCAAAAATAGGCCCTGAGAACCACAAGATGTCCCCCCAACCCCTGTTAATTAAAAAGAAACTATTCTTTGAGAAAAATTACCAATTTAATTACAGCAGTGTGGGAAATAAAAAAACAGCCATGCTAATTTTATATTCTGACTGATGATGAAATGAGATTTCAGAAATGTTTCGGTGATGGGGCCAGAGAGAGGGAGAATACCATGGGTAGGGCACTTAGCTTGCAGGTGGCAACCCAGGTTCAATGCCCAGCACCTCATATGGTCCCCCAAACTCGCCAGGAGTGATCCCTGAACACAGAGCCAGGAGTAAGCCCTGAGCACTGCTGGTTGTCACCCTAAAACTTAAAAAAAACCGGAACTGTTCAGGTGAGAGAAAAAGAGGGTTCTGGATAATCACTGGGTGGTGTTAGTACAGATGTAGCTATTCCGGGTCGGCCTGCGGTTCTGGTCAGAATCCAGGGGAGCCATCTTCGGGGTGTTCGAGAAGTCATTTCACTAAAGGCCCCAGGGTCCTCCAGCAGGTCCCAGCAGGGCACTGTCCACTGAGCTCTGGTCACCTCAGACTCAGGCCACCCTGAGCAGACACAAGGTATGTTTCTCCGTTTCTTCCTGGGAAGCTGAGCCTCTGGCACCGCTCACTCTGGGGAGTGCCAGGCCTGCCCCGCCTGTGCCACCTCCCCGCCCACATCAACATTTGTGCTTCTGCCTTCCAGGTTTTATTTCACCAACTGGCACGGCACCAACGACAACGAGCAGTCAGTCTGGCGACATTCTCCAAAGAAGCAGAAGAACGGCTATGAGAAGAAAAAGGTCCCCGAGGCCACCCCTCTGCTGGACGCCAGCTCCCTGGAGTACCTGTTTGCCCAGGTAGGAAGGTCAGCTGGCCAAGAACCTGGCTGGGCTGATGCACACTGCCCGGCGTTCCGCCTCCCGCTGCAGCTGAGATTGGTGCCATGAGGCTCTGTGGCCTGCCCTGTGGACAGTTCCCGAGAGCCGGGCTGGCCTCGGTGAGGAGAAGCTGTCTCCCCTGGTGGGATTTCTCAGCCTTCACCTCTTCCTTCTTGTGCCCCCGGCCTCACCCCCGTCCTACCATTGTGTTTCATTTCTCACTGAGAAGCTTTGCATTTGTTCATTTTATTGTTTTGGTTTGTTGGGGGGACATTCCCAGCAGTGCTCTTACTCCTGGCTCTGTGCTCAGGGATCACTCCAAATGGAGTGCTCGGGATTGAACCAGGGTTGGCCACACGCTAGGGAAGAGCCCGAACCTGCTGCTGTCTCTGGCTCCGCATCCTGCTTTTTAGGCTTACTTTCTTGGTTTGGAGTCTTTGCTCTTAGAGACCTGTGTGCCTCCTTACTGAGCTGGGGGCATTTTGCGGTTTGTTTCACTTCTGTAAACAATTGAAACAACTCTCCATGCTGCCAATGCACTGTGGAAGGAGGGTTCCTTCCCCTTTCTCTAAACCCACATTATAATGGGGTGCGGCCCCCTGCCTGTCAGAGCCTCATTCCTGGGTGAGGGTCTCCGTGGGCCTGTTTGTAGAGGGGGCGCAGTATCCACCTCTTGCTCTGCCCAGCACAGCTGTTTCCAGCATGCCTAGTGGGAGAGGCCTGAGGAGGCCTGCGGGTTTCTGAAGGTCCGAGCTTGTTGTCAGCGAGTGGATTCCCAAGGGCAAGCAATGCCCAGCCCTTTCCTGCTCACAGTGCGGTTGGAGGAATGGAGCCTGGTTTGGCTCGGCCCTTGGGCTCCTGCGCTCCGGGCTGCCACTTTCCGGCAGCACATGGTGGGCCCTTGACTCAGGAGCAGGACTCACTTCTCCTCCCCTCTGCTCCAAAGGGACAGTACGATCTGGTCAAGTGCCTGGCTCCCATCCGAGACCCTAAGACTGAGCAGGATGGACATGACATCGAGAACGAGTGCCTGGGAATGGCTGTCCTGGCCATCTCCCACTACGCGATGATGAAGAAGATGCAGCTGCCAGAGCTGCCCAAGGACATCAGGTAAAGCTCCCTGTGGGCACAGGCATGGACCGTAAGGATGCGTGGTGCTGACGTGCTGTTGGTCATCTGGCTCACCCCCTGCCAGCTTCCAGTGACCCTGCTCCCTGCAAAGCCCGAGTTCTGATGAGAACAATGATCAGAGGTGCCAGATAGATTGTATCAGGGTTAAAGTACTCGTCTTACAGACAGCTGACCCAGGGGCAGTCCTGCCACCACATGTGGTTGCCTGAGCACCACCAAGAAATAAAAGAGTATTGATCAAAGGGAGCAAGTTGTTACTGTATCCCGATTTGTATGTTGGTTGATAATCTTCAAAGTTTGTATTAGGGCCAGATTTCTGGACTGTGGATGCTAATCAAATCAGATGCCCGTAGACCTTCTGCTTAGGTTGGGCATTACCATCTGTCATTACACTTTTCTTTAAAGTAAATTATTTACTTATTTTTATTGAATTGCTGTGAGATACAGTGACAAAACTTTCATGTTTGTATTTCAGTCATACAGTTATCAAGCACCCATCCCTCAACCAGTGACACTTTTTTTTTTCAAAGGCCCATCGGAAGATTCCCTCTCAGCATTGCTTCATAGATAGCTACAATGTTAGCCATAGCCTGAACTAGCACTCACTAGAGTGCTGTGAATTTTGATGGGACATGTGATTATCTTAAGAAAAATTATATTATTATTATTAGTATTGCTTTTTGGGTTACACCCGGCGATGCACATGAGTTACTCCTGGTTCATGCACTCAGGAATTACTCTTGGCAGTGCTTGGGGGACCAAATGGGATGCTGGGAATTGAACCTAGGTCGACTGCGTGCAAGGCAAACGCCCTACCCGCTGTGCTATTGCTCCAGCCCCAAAATTGTATTAATTTTAAAATACCATTTTTCAGGTTAGGGAGACAGGTTAGGATGCAGGCCTTGCATGTCTCCGCCCTGGGTTGATTGCCAAACACACGTGAACTCTTGAGCCTTACTCGGTGTAACCATAGAGGTCCTGAGCATTTCTGCTTTTGTGACTCGAAACAGCTGGTGTTACCTGTAGGAATTCTTGGTTTGTGAATCTTGTGGGGTGGGCCCCACTGGGCCTCCTTAGGACCATCATCATGAGTGCTATGTGCCTCCGGAAGTAACTCTTCCTTTCTCATTTGGCAGCATACCTCAGGAAGAGTCCTCATCTCCCTTTGGCTTCCATGAAAAGACATGTGTTTCTCCCAATTCTTTTTTTAGCTACAAGAGGTATATTCCGGAAACATTGAACAAGTCCATCAGACAGAGGAACCTGCTCACCAGGATGAGGATAAATAATGTCTTCAAGGATTTCCTAAAGGAATTTAACAACAAGACCATCTGCGATAGCAGTGTGTCCACACATGACCTGAAGGTGAAGTACCTGGCCACCTTGGAGACGCTGACAAAGCATTATGGAGCGGAAATATTTGAGACTTCCATGTTACTGATCTCAGCTGAAAATGAGATGAATCGATTTCATCCAAATGATGGTGGGAATGTTCTCTGCTATGAAGTGATGGTGACGGGTAATCTTGGCATCCAGTGGAGGCAGAAACAAAATGTGAGTGGTGAGAGGTAACTGGTGAACACTGACTGACCATCCTTTGTCCCAGAGTATTTCGTTTACCCTTCTGGAATAATATGTTTGCATGTCCTTCTGTTGCATGTCCAACCCCTTGACTGAGGTTATTTAGACCAGAGACCACATATCACCCTTATTTACTGCAGCTATGGGTAGAAGGTCTAAAGTTTCATTAAGATCTTCAGAAAAAGAGAGAAATAACAATAATAAAAGGGTATAATATGTAATAGTTTAATGTTCACAAATGTTTGCATAGTGCTGGCCACATACTAAGGTCTCTGTCTGCACTCAGTCATTCCTCCCCTCATAGAAAGGCTTTGAGGGGTTACTACCTTGTCCCTATGATAGATGAGCCCAAAGAGGCACAGAGATGTGAAGACACTTACACGGGATCGGAGCCAGTAAGTGCTGGTGCCAAGAATTGAACTCAGCCACTGGCTCATGAAAGAGGTACTCCCTCTTTCATGCTTTCTAAATGGAGCTCTGGCTCCCAGTATTCTGCCATTTGAAGCTTCTGGACTGAAATGTTTGTTGGAGTAGAGCAGAGTGGTTTAAAGTCTGGGTGACCTTGAAATCCTAGCACTGTTGCATGGTTACTATGGCCCCGGGGGCGGGGGTGACTTCACTTGCGTCTGCCATGTGGTCTTTTAGTTAATTCAGTTAAATGGAGAGACCTAACTCTCTGATCACAGTTGTCGAGAGAACTGTGTCATTCAGCACTCATCCTGTCACATAATAAGTGTCAAGTAAATTGTTGTAGTGGCTGTCACCACCATCATAGTTGTAAGTAATATTATTAGAAGCGAATGTCTTCTTTAGTCTCCTGAATTTCATTCTGTGGTATAGTCAGTGCCTGGCACTGAGTACTTACCCTGTCAGACATACTGTTACTGGGAACCCTCTCTTCTCTGAGAACCTTGTGCAAAGGGAGATCTCTTTTATGTATGAGGAGTAGGAGGGTCAGAGAGATACATACAAGGCAGGAGCTGGAGTGATAGCACAACGGGTAGGGAGTTTGCCTTGCGTGAACCAACCCAAGTTTGATTCCCAGTATCCCATATGATTCCCCTGAGCACCACCAGGAGTAATTCCTGAGTGCAGAACCAGGAGTGATCCCTGTGCATTGCCGGGTGTGACTCAAAAAGCAAAAAAAAAAAAAAAAAAAAAGAGAAACATACATGGCAAAGCCTGTCTTGCCACTGTCCTCCAGGCTCCTGGAGCACGGCCTTGTGTGGGCCTGCATTGCTCCTCACCTGCCGCCCGCTCCTTTCTGGAGGTTGGTGCTGCCTGGTTTGCCCCGACCTTCTACCCACACAAAATGTGAAAACCAACTCAACGCTGACCCTTTCGTGTATCTTATCAGGTGGTTCCTGTCGAAAAGGAAAAAAATAAACTGAAACGGAAAAAACTGGACAGTAAACACAAGAAGGATGAGGAGAAAAGCAAGATCCGGGAAGAGTGGAACAACTTCTGTTACTTCCCTGAAATCACTCACGTTGTCATCAAGGAGTCCGTGGTCAGCATCAACAAGCAGGACAACAAAAAAATGGTATGTCTGCTCCGGCAGTGGTTCCGGCGGGCCATGGTGGTGAGGGAGATGCTGGCAAGGGCAGCAGGGCAGGGCAGCTGGGCGATTCTGGGCAGTCTCCAGCCGTCTGCACTCCGCTGTCCCGCTGCCCCGCTCGGGTCTGGCACATGTGTCTGTTCAGGGAATGGAACCCCTCCCGTCCCCCTCCCCCAGATATGTTTCAGCTTCAGTATTTGATTCACAGAAGTTAGCGGGCTTGGGGGATAGCGTAGATCAGTGCCAGTGCCGTTCTCCACCCCCGGGCTCCTGTGCGGCCCCTCTGGGGTGGGTCCTGGGTGACCAGGTCAGTGGAAGCCTCACTTTGTCCTTGAGGAGAAAGTAGGTCCTCTTTGTGGTGTCCCAAGTGACTCTGGGCCAGAGAATGGGTGTGCTCACTCACTTCCTCTTTCCTGGGTCACTTGAGGACAGGGTGTAGATAGGCAGGCCAGTTTGGCAGGGGAAGTGGGAGTCCTGACAACTAAGCCGTTTGTGTCATGGGGTCATAGCTGAGGGTATACCCTGCTGCAGGATGACCACTAGGGACACAGCCGACAGCAGAGAACAGGCAGCACGCACAATACAGGGTGACCACCAGGGACATGGATGACAGCTGAGGACAGGCAGCACCCACAGTGCAAGGTGACCATCAGGGACACGGCCACAGCTGAGGACAGGCAGCAACCACAGTGCAGTGTCACCACCAGGGACACACCGACAGCTGAGGACAGACAGCACCCACAGTACAGGGTGACCATTAGGGACACGGCTGACAGCTGAGGACAGGCAGCACCCACAGTGTTAGATGTGGGTGCACCCACAGTGCAGGATGACTGCTCAGCAGTCCCCGGGGGTGGGGGTGCTGAAACTTGGTGCCAGAGAGGAATGTGGGGAGAGACAGGATCACACCATGGGAGCTGGTTCTCTTTGGGGACCTTTTTGGAAGGAGTTTTGACCAAATTAAAGACATTATTGCCACATCCTTTCATTCTGAAATGTTTTTCAGAAACTTTCTCCCTATCTTCCATGCAGTGGTCTGTGGTAGAGACTAGGTTCTCCAATAATGTGCACCAGGCTGAGATACTGAAAGTCACTTGACTGTAGACGGGACCAGAATAGGAGAATAAATTCTAGTTCACCAAACTAGTGGAATCGTACAGAATTTACAGAAGCAAGTTGCTGTATGAAAAAATTCTTTATAAATAGAGAAAGGCAGAATATATAGCAAGAAAATGGTATCAGTCAAAAGTTCTGAGGCATTGCTGATACCCCATTGCACCACATAAACATTGGAGATTCCACTCCAAAAAGGTGGGGTTCTGACCATTATATAAGGCTTTATATATATATATATATATGTTGTATATATATATAAACTGATGATATTACTTAATAGGGCTTTATGATTAGGTGGTAAAATATGTTAAGAATGCTTGCTCTTAAATGGTTTTTTATTTGCTTATGGGCCACTTTTGGTGATGCTCAGGGGTCATTGCTGACTCTGAACTCAGGGTAAGTTCAGGGGATGATGTGCAGTACCAGGGATCTGACCAGGATTGGCCACATGCAAGGCAAGCGCCTTTCCCCCATAACATCTTTCTGGCCCTCTGCCTCCCTTTTTAAACAGTACACATTGGCTTTACCAGAAATTTAAAGTAAAAATATAATGAAGGCGGGGAGTATGTATCATAGAGGTTATGGGGTGCTGGACCCTGATTCTATCACCAGGCAGCCTAGAGGCCCCAGCACTGCCCAGATGGCACCGTGGGTCTGAGCAGCACTGTATCCTTAGATGCTGACGTGGAATCTCTAATCCATTTTGCCAGATGTCACTCAGAGTGGCCTCTAGGTCCCCTCCTTGTTCCCCCTATCAAAGCTAAGAAGGAAAAAGTGGAAAGAGCCCAGCTTGCTGTTGGTCGGAAGATGGAGGGGCAGGCAGCTGCCATCCGTTCAGCAGTTCAGAGGTCTCAGGCTCTGTTTTGTCCTGTGTCCACGCTGAGGAACCGAGGCCTTCCAGGAGCCTGGGTACAGGGAGTTTGGCTCCATTTCCTGCGGCAAACCTGAGACTAAGGAGCAGATGAACGGAGGGAGGCTTGTGCGGGGTCAGAGTGCGAGGAAGTGCTGTTTTGCTTGCTGAGACCTTGTCTCGGCCTGGGTGCGCCTGGGGCACTGGCCCTGCAGCCTGGCAGGACCCTGACTGCTAGGCCGAGGAGAGGCAGCAGCTGGTTGGCAGGTGGTGGCAAGTCTGGTAGACAGAGTCAGACAAGGGCCCCTGTCCTCTAAAGCCAGATCTCACGGTGGCCCCAGGGCTGGTGGTGCTACCAGGCTGCAGTGCTGTGTCTAGAGAAAAAAAGCCTTCGCCTCCCTCAGACCTGATTGCTCTTTGCACACACAAATTCTTTCCCGTGCTGCGGCAAGGCACTTCCCGTTCCGACACTTGGCAGATGTCAGCCCTTCATTTTCGCACCACCCTGCCGAGTGGCTTAGGAATTAGCCCCATTTCAGAGGCGGAAGCTGTGGCAGAGAGGTTAAGGAACTTCAGGAGCACACTGCTGCTAGGTTAGATCGGAATTGCCATCATTTGAACTCTTTGGACCTTCGAGAAGGGAGATTGCCTATGCTTCACCATGGAAGTCAATGAAGGCACAGAATTGTTTGGAGGGATTGGAGAGGCGTGTGTGTGGGGGGTCTCCCAAGTGGTGCCCCCCGCCCAGGTGATTCTCAGACATCCAGGCCAGTTCATTTAGTGTAGGGGCTCAGGATGTACTGCTCAGGAGCCTGTCCTCTGTGCCAGTCCCTGGGCCCTCCTAGCAGTGGCCCCAAACTTGGTGATGCTTGAGGGACCATGTAGTGCTCGGGCTCAGGCACAGTTGACTGTATTCAAGGCCTGTGCTGTAACCCCTGTGCTACCTTTCCATCCCCCCGATTTTTGTGAGCATTGGTTAGCAACGCTGTAGGATTGGGGCACCGCTGAGGGCCTGGGGGTTGAGTCCAGGGAAGTGGCCCAGAGCGGGTGGTTCGCTCTACCATGTGTCCACCTCCGCGCCTCACTCCCGCTCCTCAGACCTGGGAGGGCCAGGCCCTTGATTCTGGGCTGCTGGTCTCTCATGTGACCAAACGGTGTCTCGATAGGTCTGTTCTTCCTTTTCCATGACATCTCCCACTTCCATTGTGACCGCTGCTGCTCTCAGGATTGAGTGCTTACGTGGCCTCACTCATATGTGGCTGGGTGAGGGCCTTCCACATTTAGCTGCTTGGTGGACGCTAGAGTTGCCATCCCTTCCCGCTTTTGAGCGATTCATGACGCTGGGCTCTCCTCCTTTCACGTCTCAGCAGCAGTCACAAGGCTCCGCTTCCATCCTGCCTGGCTGCTCTTTCCTGCCCTCTTGCCCCTGCACTGCTCTTTGTGAGACCCTCAGAACCGTTCATCCTACAGCCTCACCTGAAGCGGGGGACCTTCAAGAGGAAGCCCCTCAGAACCGTTCATCCTACAGCCTCACCTGAAGCGGGGGACCTTCAAGAGGAAGCCCCAGCCTGCCGTTCATGGCACACACAGCCTCCCACCGCTGCTGCCGGCGGCAGAGTCCTCTCATCTCTGCACCCGCACACACATGCACACAGACACAGATGTGCTGCCTCTCCTGTGGGGTTGAGATAAGAGATGGGACCGTGGGAGGTGCTTCCTGTTTGAGTGGGGGGAGCCGCAACTCACAGCCAGAAGAGCTTCACAAACAGCATATGAAAGATCTTCTCTGGGCACTTCCCATGGAGGCAGCTGCTGGCGAGTAGGCCTGTGACCTAACCGAGGAATGTCTTCCCTCAACAGGAGCTGAAGCTCTCTTCCCATGAGGAGGCCTTGTCCTTCGTGTCCCTGGTGGATGGTTACTTCCGGCTCACAGCAGATGCCCATCATTACCTGTGTACCGATGTGGCACCCCCGCTGATCGTGCACAACATTCAGAATGGCTGCCACGGCCCCATCTGGTTGGTCGAGAACCTCTACAGTTGGGGCCAGAGCAATAGTACAGCGGGGAGGGCATTTGCTTTGCATGCGGCCAACCCGGATTCAGTTCCCAGCATCCCATATGGCTCCCCAGGCACCGCCAGGAGTAATTCCCGAGTGCAGAACCAGGAGTAACCTCTGTGCATTGCTGGGTGTGACCCAAAAGGAAAAAAAAAAAGAATCTTCGCAGTTGCTTCCGGTGCTGAGAGAAGGCCCCGATACAGCTGGGGCCAGTGTGGCCACCACACTGACAGGCTGGAGGGATCAGTGGCAGTGGTCTTCTGTGGGTTCATGTAGCAGCTGTTTCTGTCCTGTGGGTGCCAGGACTGATGGCTCTCACAGAGGACCAAGATGAGCACCGTGGCTGCCGACAGAGGCATCTCTGTTCCTCTCTGATTCCTTTATTCGACATTGATCGCTCAGGGATTCACTTACTTATGGAGCATCTCCCCTGCGCCAGGCCTGCTAACTCCTGGAGGATCCACACCCTCCTGCAGTTGTAGCCGTGCTGCCAGGGGCAGAGGCGGCCTCAGGGCTGAGACGGGTCATGTGGGCGGGTGGGGGCCGGGAGTCCGCTCAGCCGCTCACACTGCCGCTGCTGTCGCCCCCAGCACGGAGTATGCCATCAACAAGCTGCGCCAGGAGGGGAGCGAGGAGGGCATGTACGTGCTGCGCTGGAGCTGCACAGACTTCGACAACATCCTCATGACCGTCACGTGCTTCGAGAAGTCCGAGGTCAGTTGCAACACAGGCGGGGCCGTGCCCGGGAGTGGGGCTCCCCACACACACACCCGGTTCTGCTTCTGGGGAAACTGGTGCCGGGCGGCCGCTGAGCTCCGAGCCTGCCTTCCTGCTGCTCGCCAGCCAGTGCCCGGTGCAGGGCCCACTGCGCTGCTGGGGGACACCACTGCCCCGTGTCCTAACTCAGAGGGCACAGACCCGAAGCTCTGCCTGCTTGTGATATCCACAGGACCATGCCAGTGTCCCGGAGGCTGGCCTGGCCTCAGTTTCCCCTAGGGTCAGCAGGTGGAGAAGTGACTGAGAGTTGGGAGCTGGGATAAGGTGTGAGTAGTCCTGAGAGTGGAGTTAAACCCAGAAAGAACTGATCTTGCCCCCACATACCCGCCCTGCCCTTGTTACTCACAAGAGTTTGAAAAAATTCACCAAATGGAGTGGGCGCTCATGCGTGCGTGCGCGTGTGTGTGTGTGTGTGTGTGGTGTGGTGCTGGGAGTCAAACTCAGTTCTTCCACAGACGAGGCTCCTCCCCCACTGAGCCGTACCCCCGGCCCAAGTGAATGGTTTTAAAGGGTGATCAGTTGAGAAGTTTTATATGAAGTAACATAGTCGTGGTTGTGTCCAACATGAAATGCAGGAACTGGGCTGGCAAGGGGCACGTGCGAGGGAATCAGTCAGGTGCATTCCCCAGGGGCCCCTGAAGGAGGGAAGACCTGGGGTCCCATGCAGCCATGGTGGGGAAAGACAGTGGCTGGAGGAGCTCCGTGCTGCCGGGTAAGGAGGTGAAGTCCCTGGGCCGCCCCCCACCCAGGGGTCACTGTGGCCTCACGCTCAGGCTGAAGCAATGGGATTAGGTGCCACAGGTCCTCTGGGTGTGGCCTGGCAGGGTGCCCAGCGAGGAGGAAGGGGACGGGGTTTCCCAGGCAGGGGGGAGTGATTCCAGCCTTCTGCTGAGACCTTCAGTTATCAGAAACGTGGGTGTCGGCACTGTGTGTGTCCTGCTTGGGCCTGGTTCATGCACAGACAGGCTTGTCCCACTGTCCCCTCAGCTCATGGGCACTGTGTTGCGCCGTCTCTTACCTGCATATCGGCCTTGAGCCTGAGAGGCGAGGGGAGGGCTGAGTCACCTCATAGGGAAAGCAGGCAGTGCATTTTTTCTCTCACTGTCTTAGCCTCTTGCTTCTTGGACAGATCTTACTGGGCCTCATTTTCAGCCATTAAAACTTTTTCCTTCAATTGTACACAGGACAAGTGCCTACCACAGAAGCAGGCCGGGAATCAGGAGGGAAACTGGGGACATTGGTAGAGGGGCAGCGGGTACAGGTGAAGGAATTAGTGTTGGAACATTGTACATCTGAAATTCGATCATGAATATACAAAATTTGTGATTACCAAGCTTGTGCCTTTGTAATTCAGGGTGATTTAAAAAAAAAAGTTTCCTTTGCCAAGGTGTCCCAGAAGGGAAACTTCTGCTTTAGCTTCCTCTCTGTGCCACTCCCCAACACTGAGTTCTCCACCAGGATAACACCACCCCCCCCCCCCCCACACACACACACACACACTCTCATCTGCTATTCTGGAACTGCCCTGCATTTCCTGGGGGCCTGGGGCTCAGAAGCGTCTTCGGGGCTTTCCCCTGGGTCCTGGCATTGAGGTGGCCTGACACGGTCACACCTCCCCACCCCGAGCACTGTCTATCCCCTCCAGCTGCCCCCGGCTCACAACCTGTTTCTTTCTGGATGGCAGGTGCTGGGTGGCCAGAAGCAGTTCAAGAACTTTCAGATTGAGGTGAAGAAGGGCTGCTACAGCCTGCATGGCTCAGAGAGCAGTTTCCCCAGCCTGGGGGAGCTCATGGCCCACCTCAAGAAGCAGATCCTGCGGACGGACAACATCAGCTTTGTGCTGAAGCGCTGCTGCCAGCCCAAGCCACGAGGTCAGTGTCCTGTTGAGGCCGGGGTTCCTCAAAGACTGGCGCCCGCCCACACTTTCTGGTGCTTTTCACTGAGCTCCGGGTGGTCCCTGACTGGAATCCCACTCCCAGGCACCCATAGTGTCTGGAAAAGCCCTCTATCTCGCGCAGCGCCTCTGCTAGGCTGCAGATGGCTCTCTGGGAAGAGGACGCCTGCTACTTGCTTGGTTCCCCTCACACGGGGCCTCCCGTTGCCCTGGACACGTCCTCCGCTAGTGAGCTGTATGCCAGGCCCTTCCTGCCAGGGCCCACGAGGGGGGTCTGGCCCGATCCCCCCCAGCGCGCAGCTGGGGTCCGACCTTAGGGCACTTGCTGTCCAAGCACTTTGAGCCATTAAACCATGCTCTGGGGCCCCATGGCTTTTTATCAAAGCGAGTTTGGACTCTGTGTTTGGCCTGTGAGTGGAGGGTAAGCACCAGGTTCTTCCTAAGTATGTGTTGAAATGCCTGTGACGGTGTCTGGTTCCCCTGTGCTGGGCTGCCCCTGGGCACAGGTGCTCGGCCCTTGCTGCTCTGTTCAGATTTGCCTCTCTCCTGCCCAGAAATCTCCAACCTGCTGGTGGCCACCAAGAAAGCTCAGGAGTGGCAGTGGCAGCCAGTGTGCCCCATGAGCCAGCTGAGCTTCGACCGGATCCTCAAGAAGGACATTGTGCAGGTCAGTCTCTGCCAGGTTCCTGCAGCGCTACCCCTTGGGGGTTTGAGGGAAGGAGACAGGGGAGAGAGATTGATTGAGTTCTTTTGGTGGTCCTGGGGTGTCTCCTGCCTACTACATGCTGACAGAGCACTTCGGCACTTAGTCTGGGTTCTGGGGAGGCCTCTAGGACGAGCCATCTGGGAATGTGGAGGACAGCAGGGAGCAGAACCGCAGATTTCAGGCTTGGGAGACCTCTGAGCAGAGACCAGTGTCCCACATGAGAGACCCAGCCCTCCTATTGTCACACCCGAGAGACCCAGTACCTCTAATGTTACACCCGAGAGACCTGCCCCCTAGTGTCCCACCTAAGAGACCCCCCACGGTGTCCCACCTGAGAGATCCCTCTCATAGTGTCCCATCGGAGAGACCTCCCCTCTTGAGTATCATACCCACCTGGGAGAACTCCACAGTGTCCCACCTGACAGACCCCACCCAGGACCATCCCTCCAGTTCCCCACCCAGGACCATTCCCCCCCCCCCCCCCGTGTCTTACCTGAGAGACCCACCTCCCAGTGTCACACCTGAGACACCCGCCCCATGTCCCACCCAGGAAGACCTGTACCCCTCCCCCCTCCCCCCGTGGCCTCCCTGTGGTCCTTTTGCCCATAGACCTGGAGGGGGCCCTCGTTTACCTTATTGGTACCCTGGGGACTGGACAGCAGTGGCTGAGAGAGTATGGGGGGAGTGAGGGGGACACTCCCACATTGATGGGCAGTGGGCAGTAGAGGCCTCTGGGGTGCACATACCCCAGGCTAAGTGGAAGAGCCGGCCATCCCCCTTGCCCTGGGTCGTGGGCAGCTTGCCAAGGTTGGGAAGGAGCCGCTCAGGGGCCGAGATGGTCTCCCGGCTGCGTGTGGTGTCCTCACTGAGGGGCCGGGAGCTGCTGGCCTTTGATCTCTGTCCCTTCCTGGGTGCCCCACTGAAGGCCAGCCCTTCCTGCCATGTTCTGCAGGGCGAGCACCTGGGCCGAGGCACGCGCACGCACATCTACTCGGGGACGCTGGTGGATTACCGGGACGACGAGGGCACGGCCGAGGAGAAGCGGGTCAAAGTGATCCTCAAAGTCCTGGACCCCAGCCACAGGGACATCTCTCTGGCAAGTGTCTTCCTTCTGGAGCCCCGTGGCTGGGGAGAGCCTGGGGTTGGACTTTGCTTTCCGGTCCCTGAATGGTCTGCTGGCCAGGATCCCTTTGTGCAAGGCAGAGAGCAAGCTGCCCCTCCCTGTGGGCCCTATTTCCCACCCTCTAGAGCTCTTGGGGCGGTACCTGGAGCCTGGGCGGGGTTGTACCTGTCTGCGCCCTGAATCTAGGTCTCACAGTCTAGGAAGGTCAAGCGAGAGGAGGACAGTGGCCTGAGGCCACAGCCCCTCCCGAGCAGCCACCCATGACCCCCCCTCCATCCCCGGTGCAGCGCTGCTACCCTCCTGAGACACCAGGGCGAGTCTAGCTGGGCCCTGTGTCCTCTGGTTTTTCCAGAGAGACCCAGCATGGTAGGCAGGCCAGACAAGCCAGGGGGAGCCGGCGCTGACAGGCGGTGCCATCCCCACAGGCCTTCTTCGAGGCGGCCAGCATGATGCGCCAGGTCTCCCACAAGCACATCGTGTACCTCTATGGCGTCTGCGTCCGGGACTTGGAGAGTGAGTATAGGCCTGTGACAAGGAGATTGGCCCGGGCAGGGTACAGGGTGCCCGGAAGCTGGCGGGTGCTGTGGCAAGGCTTCAGGCCTTTCATCTGCGGCTGAGCAGTCGCCTGCTTAAGCTAACAGTGGACAGCGACTGGCTGCCGTGTCCCCTGCTTGCAGGGCTGTGGGAGGTGTGGTCTGGGTTTACTGCCTAGAGAGGGGGGCATGCAGGAGGTGGCCCCGGGCCGGCTCTCAAGGGCAAAGGGAGCAGCTGACCCAGATGGACAGACACAGAGGGTCCTTGCGGGGCGTGTCTCTGCTGGCAGACATCATGGTGGAGGAGTTCGTGGAGGGGGGCCCTCTGGACCTCTTCATGCACCGGAAGAGTGATGTCCTTACCACACCGTGGAAGTTTAAAGTGGCCAAGCAGCTGGCCAGTGCCCTGAGTTACTTGGTAAGTGCGTGCTGATGCCAGGGGTTCCCTGGGAGCCAGCTGTGCTCGAGAGGGTGGTGGGAAGGAAACCAAGTGGCTGGTGGGGCCGGGGCTTGAGGCCTGACACGGGTGTCTGGGACGGGGAGATGGGCTTGTGCACGGGCGCCCTCGAGTGAGCATGGCATTGTGCTGAGGGCCTGGGCACTGCAGAAGGAGTAGGGTGCAGATCTGGTGAATTCTCCCAGAAGCCCTTGCCTCACTGTGGGAGCCAGTGTGGATGCCTGTGGGGACAGTACTGAGCCCCAGAGAGGCAGGGGCAGGCCGAGGGCCAGGGGCGGGCTGGGCATGTGGGAAGGGGAAGGCGGCGGGGCTGAGCTCTCCCTCTGGGTTCGCAGGAGGACAAGGACCTCGTCCACGGAAACGTGTGCACCAAGAACCTCCTCCTGGCCCGGGAGGGCATCGACAGCGAATGCGGCCCCTTCATCAAGCTCAGCGACCCTGGCATCCCCATCACGGTGCTGTCCAGGCAAGGTGGGCCTCGCGCCTGTCCCCCACCCTGAAGTTCAGGCCCGCTGGGAGCAGGGGCTGGGGTGGACCCTTCCTGGAAAGCCTCAGAAGAGGACTCAGTGTGTCAGAGAGCAGAGGGTCAACTTGCCCTGCCCTGCTCAGCGGCTGGGTGGGAGGAGAGCTGGGCTCAGTGTCCTGGGGCTGGCCTCTCACGGTCAGGGAGCAGTTGGGCCTCCGGGCCTCCCTTCCTGCCTCCGAAGGCCCCGGAGTGCGCAGCGAGCATCTGGGAGGCACCTGGCTGGAGTCTCAGGGGCTTCTTCAGCAGACATTTTTCTGACTGGGACCAGTGTGAGCCATTGCCGCCACACAGGGGCGGCTCTGGTGCCAGCGCTGGGCCAGTGCTGCAGGTGGCTCTGTCCTTGGCCTATAGGCCTCTTGCCCCCCGGCACTGAGCACCTGCTTCACCCATAATGCAGCCAGAGAGTGATACTGGACTGGAAGTGGCTACACGGCAGCAGGAACCAGGCCTGAATACCCAAGCTCCAGAGTGTGTGTCCGCACCAGACCGGGCCGAGTCCGTACCTGGTCTCTGGGGTGTCTCACCCAGCAGCTCTGGGGGCAAGCATGCCAGGGACCCTGTGCCCAGCCAGACTTAGTCAGGCCCTTGATAACCTGAATGGGTAGCAAGTCCGGATGCTCCATGAGATGGGCCAGCAAGATGTGGTGGCCATCCAGAGGGGCTGGGCATGCTGGGGCCGAGGGTGATGGGGGGAGGGTGATATCGCCCCTGGCCAGGGAGCGGGGAGCGGGCGGGCCTGCAGTGAGTAACAGAGCCCCTTAGGAATCTCCCCCCTCCTGTTCCCCCAGAGCCAGGACTGTGCTCCCTGCAGGCATGCCGGGGGCAGCGCAGGGCACCCCTGACCCTGATTGGGCTCTGCCTTGCAGGGCTCTACGCTTGGTTGAAATCCAGTGCGGATGCTTCCCTGGGTGCCCGTCAAAACGCGGCCCCTCTCTGCTCCCATTCCCCGGCTGTTGTTCCCCCCAGTGGGAGCGGCTGACCTGAGAGCCGGCACACGGGCCTGTCCTCCCTGTGGTCTCCTGCCTCCCGGAGGCAGCCTCCCGGGTGTCTGCAGCTGGGCTGGAGGTTTGGTGCTCAGGCTGGGGGATGCGGTGCTGCTCAGTGCCACCGCAGAGGGGTTTGCAGACCTCTAAGCCCACACCAGTGATGTGCAGGAGGACTCAAACCCAGGTTGAGCATATGTTGGGCTTGTGTCCTAACCCCTGCACTATTTCCCAGCCCCTGCCTGCTCCCATTTGGGGGGCATGTGGGGTGGCAGATTTTGAGGGGGCCATTCAATGCAAGGATGCGAGGATCAGACATGGGGCCTTGCCTCAGCTGACCCCTGCGCACTCCTCTGGCCCTCTGTCTTTGTGCTCATGGTCCTCGGCCCCCTGGGGGGGGCGGTGGTTGGCCTCCACCGGGTGCTCTGTTCAGGAGGCCAGAGGTCCAGAAGACCGGCAGCACTGACCCTGCTGGCTTGGGCCTGCTAGACACACACAGACAGACTCTCCGAGGCCGAACGTGGCTGCGGGTACTCAGAAGTGCCCCTGGAAACCATTTCTTGGTCAGCTCTTAGTTCTCGCTGATTCCAGATAGTTTTTTCCAGAGTGCATAGAGCGAATCCCGTGGATTGCTCCTGAGTGCGTGGAAGACTCCAAGAACTTGAGCGTGGCTGCCGATAAGTGGAGCTTTGGCACCACCCTCTGGGAAATCTGCTACAACGGCGAGATCCCCCTGAAGGACAAGACCCTGATTGAGGTGAGCGGTGATCGAGGCACTTTGGAGGCTGGGCCCTGGAGATGAGCCCGGCTAGGAATCTTCCCCGGCTTGCGGCTGTGGCCAGAACTCTTAAGTGCTGGAAGCCTCGGCTTCCTTCTCTGATTCGCAGGGTGGTGTGGGCATTACACCATGGGTGCCAAGGTTGGACATGGGCTGAGTGCTGAGAAGATGGTCCTGGCGTTGTGTCTGAGCAGTGAGGTGCCTCAGCACTGTGTCCCCACATGTGTACACGCACGCACATGCACCCACTCTTGCCCAGTGGCAAGAAGGCCTGGTTCTGGGTAAGAGCTCGGGCTACAGTAGACACACGGGTAGGAAGGGAGGAGGAGGAATGACCAGGGGCTGCTGACCACAGTCAGGATCCAGCCATGGTGCCATGTGTCTGCTACAGGGCAGCCAGGGCGGGGGAGGGGGATAACGGTGCACTGGGGGAAAGTCACTCTTCAAGTGGGAAAGGCCTTGGCGGTCAGACAGCTCAGGGCACTGGATTCCAGGTGTCGAACTCGGTGATGTGGAAGGCGGAGGTGTCATAGTGAGGTGCCAGCTTTACCACCCGTTACACGCCAGCCTGGCTTACCTCGGTGGTGTGCAGGGTAGAAGTGTCAGAGTGAGTTGGCCCTTGGGGATGCCTCGTCTGGAGCCATGCTGGCATGGCAGGTGGAGGCGAGACTGGGAGCTGGCAGAGTGCGGGTGGGTGTACCGCTCTTTGGGGTTAGTGTTTATGGATCAGCTGCTGTGTGCTGTGGGGTCTGGTAGGTTAGCAGGACCTCTCTCCTCCTGGGGTCAGGTCAGGGCACATGGGCATGTATGTCTCCCCACGCCTGTACATTTGTGCGCACTGGGATCGAACTTGTGGCTAGAAGCTGCCCGGCCCTGGCTGTGTGCTGGGGCTGATGGCAGGGCCGAGTCTCCAGCCATGTCCCGGCCCACGGCACAGCGAGCGGAGCACACACCCACACTCTGGGTACGGGTTCCAGACCAGAAACTGGAGGAATGTGGTTCCCCAAAGATTTGTTTCTGGTTGTTAATTATACTGCTCTTCTTCGTGCCAAGCTTAGTACCTCTCGTTTTTGGTTTTGAAATGTAAGTGATTAAAAAGTTGAACAGGATTTGAAAAATACAGAAACCCATGGTCATGAGAGCCCTGTCCCCAATTGTGAACCGTTTGGCATGGAGCCCGCCAGTCCGTTCGTCCCTCTTTTCAACAAAAATGAACTCATTTAGTTACACAAGTTGCTTTTTTTTTCATTTTCAGTTTTTTCTTTTTTTTTCATTTACAAAATGTTTTTTCGTTTATAATTGCTCTTTTCTCTGTGGGTCAGTGTCTGCCAGGTTTTTATGGATGTAAATGAGACTTAATTGTTTGGGGCCAGGGGGATGGCCCGAGGGCTGGAGCATATGCTCTGCATGGGGGAGCCCCAGGTTTGATTCCCCAGCCTCACAGAATGGCCCAGGAACAAACACTAACAGAGTGCTCTCATTAATCGCTGATGCCAGCTTTATCAGTTTGTGGCTTGAGCCAGCGTGGCTTAATCCAAACAAATAGCAGCGCTCGCCTCGGTGTGTTACTCTTGTAACTAATTTCCTATTTGGCAGGTGTTCTCAGGAGTCTCCGATTCTAATCCTGCAGGGAGTAGCTTTAAATATCAATCTTCATTTCTGAGTATTTCAATTACTGGAATTATGGAGCCCAAAGGGTTTGAAAAACCTGGAGGTTTGTATGGATGTCGCCAAACTGCCTTCAGGAAGTTTGTGGGATGAGCAGACGGCCTGCCCGGCCGGGCTCAATGCAAAACTGGACTCCTTGTGCTTCCCCTGTGAATCTGGATTATTATTGGGGGGAAGGTAGGCTCAACCCCGGTGGGCCACTTGCAAGATTAGCACCTAGACTTAATACTCTTCTCTGGCTGAATTTGGCTTATTTAAGTGTCAAGACTGTAACTCCCCCAAGCAGAAAAACATTGTTACATCGCAGTGACAGGCGTGTTTCTGAAATTAACTTTTAGCAGTGCTGGCTGTCCACTGTCTGCTGCCTGATGTCAGTCAGTGTGGAATTGGCAGCAGCTAACAGGGTGATATGCTCCCCCTCCTCTTTACAGAAAGAAAGATTCTACGAGAGCCGGTGCAGGCCCGTGACCCCGTCTTGTAAGGAGCTGGCTGACCTCATGACCCGCTGCATGAACTACGATCCCAACCAGAGACCCTTCTTCAGGGCCATCATGCGAGACATCAATAAGCTGGAGGAGCAGAGTAAGCAAGGCCTGGACTGTGGGCGCTGCCGCCGCAGGGATGCCCGGGAGCCTCGTTGCGGGGGCAGCTCCTCACCAACCTTGTCCCTCCCACTCAGACCCCGACATTGTTTCCGAGAAAAAGCCAGCCACCGAAGTGGATCCCACACATTTTGAAAAGCGGTTCTTAAAGCGGATTCGGGACTTGGGAGAGGCAAGTCCTGCATATCCCCTGCTGCCCACCTGCGAGAGGTGCTTGTTCCCACCCCAGGCCTGTGCACATCGTCCTGCCCGCATAGACAGAGAGCAAAACCCTGACGGCTGTGGCATCCCCCAGAAAGCCCACAGGGCCTGGAGGGGGGGAGAGTGGCAGTCAGTGTACGCCTGGGGCCTGCCCACAAGAACGCTGTCAGCCAGGGGGACGAGAGCACTCGCGGGGACTGCCCGCTGGACATTGCTCTACACATCCTTCTCCTGCCCCTGAGACTCAGGGAGCTCTGGGCCAGCCCAGACCTGGGTACTGACAGGGGTCTCGACCCTCAGGGCAGGATGGAGGGCAGCAGGGGGCCAGAAAAGGGCTCACCCCCCGCCCCCAGCTGTTAGGGGGGCAGCCGGACACCACCTCTTCTCGATGTGCCCACCACCACTCACTCCCGCCTGGATTGTCCCTCAGGGCCACTTTGGGAAGGTGGAGCTCTGCAGGTACGACCCGGAGGGCGACAACACCGGGGAGCAGGTGGCTGTGAAGTCCCTGAAGCCCGAGAGCGGGGGCAACCACATTGCCGACCTCAAGAAGGAGATTGAGATCCTCCGGAACCTCTACCACGAGAACATCGTCAAGTACAAGGGCATCTGCACAGAGGACGGTATGGGCCCTGCTGGCACAGCCACAAGGGGCTGTGGGGGAGTGGGGAGCCAGCCGGGGGCTCGCTGCCCTGCCCTCGGCCCAGAGGGGAGGTGCCGGGGCTTGCCAAGTCCCTCCTCGACTGCCCAGGCTAGCCCGGCCCTCCCCGGTCCCTGCAGGTCGCACTGGGAGCCTCCCCAGCTCTTTCCAGCCTCTGAACCAGTCCATGGGATCGTTGGCTCTGGGGTCTCAGGCGGGTGGGAGCAGTTTGCACAGGGGTCAAGCTAGCACGGTGCCTGAAGGGTGCACTCTGCAAACAGGGGTGTCCTTCAGAGGAGATGATGCCAGCTTTTGGCATCCCCGGGGAGGGAGCCCGAGGCTGAGGGACTCGCGTGTACTGCGGGGGGGGGGACTGGCATCAGTTGAGGTCCATCTTCAGATCTGCCCTCTGCTTCCGAGGCAGCCCCACCGACAGCTGTTTGTTTCCCAACAGGGGGCAATGGAATCAAGCTCATCATGGAATTTCTGCCTTCTGGAAGCCTTAAGGAGTATCTTCCAAAGAACAAGAACAAAATCAACCTCAAGCAACAGTTAAAATATGCCGTGCAGATCTGTAAGGTAACACAAAAGGGAGGAAGGGCGGCGCTGTGCAAGGCTGCGGGCGGGAGCTTTCTGCTGACTTCATGTGTATTTGAATCTGTTTGGTTTCGTTGTGTAAAGTCATCCCCCTAGCCCACCGCATTCTCTGAGCTGAAGAAGTTGGGAGGGGGCGGTGGGCACTGGCGTCCCAACTGATGGGGGCGACTTGTTCCGCTGTCCGCTGTCCCGCAGGGCATGGACTACCTGGGTTCCCGGCAGTACGTGCACCGGGACTTAGCGGCGAGGAACGTCCTGGTGGAGAGTGAACACCAGGTGAAAATCGGAGATTTTGGGCTAACGAAAGCCATCGAGACCGATAAGGAGTATTACACTGTCAAGGATGACCGTGACAGCCCTGTGTTTTGGTAAGCCAGCCGGCAGCTGGGTTCCCCGGGAGGGCGGCCCCGTGAGCTGATCAGAGCTGACTGCTGGGCTCCCCAGGACGGCGGTCCTATGATCTGGGTGCACAGCAGCGGGGACCAAGTCTCAGACCCAGGCATAGCTAGTGGCCTGATTCCCCAGAAACTAGTTGACCTTGCTGCTGGTTCTCCAGGGCAGTGCCCATCTGTGTGGCTCTAAAGCAGGTGCAGGGCTGGCGAGGCGGGCATCCTTGCAGAGGGCCAGGCAGCGCAGTGGGCATTAGACAGGTTTGCTCCTGAGCAGAGTGCGGAGCGGCCCTCTCCTGGGTCACTGCGTCCTGGTTAGGTCTGCACCTCCGCCTTAGAGCATGGGCAAACTGTACCCACTTCACTAGAAAAGTGGTCAACAGGTGGGCTCGTTTAGTGAGGACACGCGTGGTTGTGGATGGGCCGTGAGCCAGGTATGAAGATGGGGAATGACCAGCCTGAGCTGAGAGCTATCAGGAGTGGCAGCCATGTTCGTGGTACCATAAGTAAGCCAGGTTTGGGCTTGACTTTCTGTAACTCCTGAGGGTTAAAACCTCAGATTTGGGCTAGAGGGATTTGGGGTTGTACACCGTCTGATCCTCAGCACCACCTGTTGGGGTCACCTGAGCCATTCCGGGTGTGGCCCAAACTACCCCCACAAACCCCTCGCCCCAGGTTTGTTGTGGATTGGGAAGGGCATGTGTGATGAAGAATTAGACAATCTGGTAGGTGTTCCAGGCACTGAAGCCAGTGAGCTTGATTATGAAGGGGCCGCCCTCGGGCACTGAACACCGAGGCACAGAGCTGCGGCTCCATCCAGAGTGTTGGGCTGCTTTGGAGGAAGGAGAGACACAGGACCCCAGGGTGAACAGGGACAGTGATGAAGCATGTATAGGAAGTTGGGTCAAGTAGTGCTTATGTGGGAAATTGGATGGGGGGTGGGGAGGGAGTGTGCCTCTGTTTCTGGAGCTGGGTGCCCTTCACCAGAGGTTGATGCTGGACCAGAGAGGGAGAACAGCAGTGAGGTTCTTGCCTGGCTTGTGGCTGCCCCAGGGTTGACTCCCAGCACCCCATAGTCCCCGAGTATCGCTGGGTGTGGTCCCAGGTTCAAACAAGACAAACTTTGGCATCAGAAGAGGGCTGAGCAGGTAAGTTCCTGAGCTTAGAGGCAGGTAAACCCGAGGGTGGCCTCATGCCACCGCATGTCACAGACACATCCAGCCAGCGCGATTCACCCCTCTTCCCCTGACGTGTCTCAGAGCAGGCGGCCCAAGCATGGTGGTTCTGTTTTGCTGTGCTGTTGGAGATCCTGCCCAGGCAGCGGGATTTGTGGTCCCATGTCTTCCAGGTATGCCCCGGAGTGTCTGATCCAGTGTAAGTTCTACATCGCCTCTGACGTGTGGTCCTTTGGAGTGACGCTGCACGAGCTGCTCACCTACTGTGACTCAGACTCCAGCCCCATGGCGGTCAGTCCCACGTGTCCATCCCTTCCGTTCTTAGCTGAAACCCAGTTAGTGTAAAGTAGCACTTTGTCTCAGTTTCAGAGGGGCCCAGAATGCTCTAGGATGACTCCGAGTTTCTGGTCCCTATCTGTGCAGGTTTGGGGACCCTCAGCGGAGGGAGGTGAGGGAGCACTGGCCGGGCCCCTGTCTGAGCTGTGCTTCTTCCTGTGAGGCCACTTCTGCGGCAGGCGGCTCCTGGAGGAGCGGCCGAGAGACTGGGAGTCAGGATCTGTGTTCACTCTGAGAGCAGTGTGTGTTGTTCAGACGTGTGTGTAAGACATTGCATTTAATTTTACCACAGTTGTTCCTGAAAATGATCGGCCCAACTCATGGCCAGATGACAGTAACGAGACTTGTGAATACACTGAAAGAAGGAAAGCGTTTGCCTTGTCCACGGAACTGCCCTGATGAGGTATTTATGGGCCACTCCTAGTGGTGCTGCGGGGAGCGGGGGTGGACCCAGGGTCTCACACTGCAAAACCTGTGTTCTCTCAGCCAAGCTGAGGACCTGGAGTTATGACGGTCAGGTAGCCCGAGAGTTCCTTTGCAAAATAGTTTAATAGTTGTCATAGTTTCTCTATTTTAACCACACAGCTTAACTAAGACTAGAGAACAAGTACCTAAGTCCAAAACATTTCCAAAATTCTTGCTTCTCATGTTTTATAGGTATATCAACTCATGAGAAAATGCTGGGAATTCCGGCCAGCCAGTCGGACAACCTTTCAGAGCCTCATTGAAGGATTTGAAGCACTTTTAAAATAAGCATGAATGACATTTAAATTCCTCCTGTATCAAGTCCCACTGTCCCCAACAAATACCCATGTCATTTAAAGAAATTTTTTTTAATGAAAGTTTGTAGTCCGTGTGAAAAAGATCTTAGGTATATGTATCTATGTACGAGGCACACGTGGTGCTTGTTAAGTGTATTTCCTTCCTATTTAAATTCGGCGCCAACCATCTTAGGGACAGCCCAAATATTATGACGTGCTTAGCCTAAGCACCCTCCTTCCACAGGAAGAGCAGAAAGAGATCGTTTTTTGTCCGACTAGTCGGTCATCACAGTTGGTTATGAAAATGGGATTTTTCAAAACAAGAGGAATTGACCAAAGTCTCAAGTTGACGGATTTATATGCCAGGAACACATCCCCCCTCTCCAGGCCGCTGGGGAAAGGTGAGAGGCAGGTGTGGCCACCGTGCTCGCTCCCCTGCCCACGCGCTGCTGGCCACAGGCCGCCTTGCTTGAGAGACCAGGTAGTGTGGCGTCATTTCTCTCCAAGATGTGTGTACTCCTGTCACCGTGAGGACTTAGCATTTCCTTCAGTGGCTTAGCTCCTGTCCCCTTAGGTGACCTGTGGTACCTATTTTTTTGAGCTGTCCCAGAGCAGTCAACTGTGGAAGACTTTGCTGCATGATATTAATTCATGAGAACTAAGCCTGTGCTTTCCTAAATGGTCACTGACTGAGGGCCAGGACGCTCAGCTCCTGCTGTTTAACTGCAGGAGCTCGGCCACCCTGGGGCACACCCAGGAGCATGGTTACGAATGCTGGCTGCAGCCACTCGGAATGCACTGTGCGCCCGAGACTTTCGGGACTTCCCTTGCCCTGCAAGAGTCGGCCAGTATTCTGGCCATCATCCTCTAGCATAAAACCTGACGGAAGAGGCACCACGGAGACCCGGCTCCCTGGACGGGTCGGAGGGAGCCGGGCGAGCGGCGGTCTCTAAGCTCGAGGCTGAGAGGCTTCCTTGCATTTGACTGATGTTGCAGAAGAGTTGTGGATGGATCCGTGGCAATGGTCAACTTGCCATAGCATTCGCTCAGTCGCCCTCTGTCGCCGAGGTCTCCGTCATACCTGTGGCCACTCTCTATGCACTTTGTTTACTCTTTATACAAATAAACATGCCAGAAACGTCACATGCATATGCCTTTTAATAGTAAGACTTCATTCTCAAGCATGTAACACTATTTATATAGAAAAATAACTGTAGACTGTGTGTGGGGGTGGGGAGGGGAACGGTCCTTTTTCTCAGTGTCCATTTCTACCCAGGGAGAAAGGCACGCTGGCCAGTATGGCACAGGTCTCTGTTCTAACCCCAGGTCTCCTGCGTATATTATCAGAGGAATAACTAATGCACCTGGAAAGGGAAAGGGTGGGGGGGGGTGGGACGGGACAACTGGAGCAAGGTGAGAAGGTGAGACGCCTGGGCCTCAGCCCGAGGAGCTCTGGATGAGGGAGCGGAGCCGTGTCCTGACAGTTACTCACAAGCTTTAAGGGCTCTGAGGCACCTGTCTAGCCGTCCTCTTCCCAATGACGCCAAAAGACAACAGAATAGACCACAGAACATTCTTTACAAATCAAGCATGTACCAAACCAATTTTAAGCTCTTTCTATTTAAGACAAAATAGATAACACGAGACACAATCATATCATAATCAAAAAGAATTCCCTCAAATTGCAATACTTAATGACCTGACTTTAAGACTAGGATCATGAAGAACCCCCCCACCCCCCAGGAAAAAAAAACCTTATCAATTACAGTCTCAAACAAGACACAAAATTAAAAATTTCTAGGTGGCAAAGGGCCTCTCTCATGCATTTAATACCAACAAAGTTTTCAGGAACAGGTGGGCAGAAATTCTATGCAATACACGATTCTTCCAAAAGTCAACTGGTCTCTAAATAGCCTATGGATTTTCAGCCTAACACTAAAAACAGTAAGACAAGCAGAGAGTGAGGTATACCAGATTAGCTCAAAATGGTTACAGAGTGGTCCTCAGCTTCCTTCCGAAAGCAATCACTGCTTTGCTATGAATATCTGATGTTTGATGTGGTCAAATCCATCAGTGGTTCTCAGCCATTGGTCCGTGGATGGGCACCAGCCTGGCCAGTGTGAAAAGGCTGAAACGCACTGATTCTGATCACAACGGGTCTGTGCCATGGAGTGGGGAGCAGAAACCTAGGGTTTCTTGCCAAATGCAAAAAAGTAAGATCATTCTTTAGTAAAAGGGTTAGTGCCATTAGCCCCAGCAAATCTCTGTAGAAAAGGCCAGAGAGTAAATCGTTTCGGCTTTGCGGGCAGAACAGCCTTGTCACTGTCAAAGCTCCGCAGCTCTATCTGGTAGGCACAAGAGTAGCCCCACGTCACTAGGGAGCACGGCTGAGTCCAGGAATGGATCCCATACTCATTTTGGGTTTTTTTTCTTTTTTTGGGTCACACCCAGCGATGCACAGGGGTTATTCCTGGCTCTGCTCTCAAGAATTACGCCTGGCGATGCTCGGGGGACCAGATGGGATGCTGGGAATCGAACTTGGGTTGGCGGCATGCAAGGCACATGCCCTACCTGCTGTACTATCATCACTCCAGCGCCCCCCTGCTCTTTTTTTTTTTTTTTATCTCTTCAACCATTTAAAACAGTAAACACCATTCTTAACTTGCAGGCAGTACACAAAACGGGGGAAGGAGGCCTGACTTGGGGTGCAGTCTTGCCCACCCCGTATACTGGCTCACCAGAGCTCCTCTTGAACCCCCACTCTGCAGAGGGTGGCGTGCCTCTGCAGACACCGATGCTTCGGACACGGCTCCCGAGTGCGGGGCTGCTCGCGTGGTTCGCATGCAGGACTTGGGGATCTCTGTGTGCCGGACCGCACCACTGTCATTTTTTGGAGGAAAAGGTCTAAAAATCTACAAATGAGAGTACTCCAGGGACGGATGAAATGCACATTGGCTTATAAGAAGTTAACTTCTAAGGCTCAGGAAACAAGACTCGTTTCCCATTGTTCCCCATTTATTGCTTCAAACTTTCATATATGGTGTTGGGACGAGGCCCAGGCCCAAAGCAAGGACGGTTGGGAACACAGGACTTCTCCCAGGGGCTCTAAGTTAATACACATTAAGATGCGTCTAATCTAGTGGCGAGTGTCCTCACTGGTCTCTTATTGCTATGATGTTTGGCAGTTCCGCCTGCTGCACAGCACAGTTCCTTAGGGGAAACTAAGAACCCGTATTGAAAGGATATGGCTAGTTTGAATGTACTTAAGGCAGCAACGAACAGCAGGAATACTGCAGAGAACCTCATGCGGGGATGAGCAAGACCCCCGTTCAGTACACACGCTTCTTTTTGAAGTAGGTTTCCATGGAATAGACTCCCGGATGCTGAGAATCCTGCTCCACGAGTTCCCCTGCGCCCCCTTCTGGAGCAGAGACGAGATAGGCCGAGCCTCGTTTTTCATTTCTTAAAGTCGACACCTGCAAGACAAGAGAAACCACAATCACTGCTGGATTCTGATGAGAAGGTGGCTGACGTGTTAACAGACGCCTTACAAGAAAAGTGGTTTCTGCGCTGGGCTTAAAAAAAAAAAAAGGCAAAACCACACCCAGAGCTCACGCTGGTGCCCGCCCAGTTAAACCCCAGCAGCCACGCCAATGCCAGCTTCCTGCCATCTTCTCCGAGGCAGGCATGGCCAAGAAACTCACCTGCATGTCAGAAGTGGCAAGTCTAAGTGAAACTGGCAGACTGGCAACAAAAATAACTGGGGAGCAACGAGAGCTCATACTCCAGTCTGCACAGCACATCTGGAACCATCGGAAACCCGGGCCCCCTGTGACCATTTAAGGACCAGCTTAAAAGTCATCCATGTGCAGGCTGGAGCGATAGGACAGCAGGTAGGGTGTTTGCCTTACACGCGGCCAACCCACGTTCGATCTCCGGCTCCCATATCGTCCCCTGAGCACTTCCAGGAGTAATTCCTGAGTGCAGAGCCAGGAGTAACCCCTGAGCATCGCTGGGTGTGACCCAAAAAGCCAAAAAAAAGTCATCCATGTGGGTTCTGTGGCCTGATGCCTCCTGGTTCACATGAGACGACGGGCTGACGCACGGATGCAGGATGCCACCATGTGACACAAGGGAGAAATGACTGGGTGTCGCCAGCCACAGTGAAGTGCCGTCTCCATCACAGCCAACAGTCAACAGTTTGACTCAGCCGACACCCTAGCTTTAAAGCTGGGGTCAGCTTTGGGACTGGAGAGAGTGCATGAGCAGAGAGGGCGCTTGCTTTGCACCCAGCCTGGCCGAGTCCAACCCTCAGATCTTGAGCACTGCCAGGAGTAATTCTCAGAGCAGAGCCGCTGTGGCCCCCCCAAACCGGGGTCAGCTTCAAGGGAACAGAGGAGGATGTCACGGCAGGAGCTGGAGGAGCTGACCAGCATGGGCTCCCCTGAGCACACCCACCACGCCCCAAGCTACGTGTGGAGTGGTTTCCTCAGAGAGGGGCACTCAGAACCAGCTGGGCGCAGGAAAAACTGAGAGCACAGCACAGCAAGGGAAGGGAAATGGCTCCGTTTAGTTTTGGGGACCACACCCAGCAATGTGTGGGCTAGTGGGTGCTCAGCGGGGGCCATGCCGCTCTCAGGAATCGAACCTGAATCTCCCACACGCACGGCCAAGTGCTCTACGCTGAGTCACACCCAGAGCACATACAGGAATCCCTGTTTAATGCCAGCATAGCACGGTCTCTGAGCATTGCTGGGTGTGCCCCCCAAACAAGCGGGGAGGGGGATGAGACCCTAACACACACACCCCCCCCCCCCCGCCACCTCCCAGCCTGGCATTGCTGCATACAGCTGGGATAGAAGGAGCCATAGATAGTACAGCAGGTAGGATGCTTGCCCACTACACAGCAGACCCGGTTCGATCCCCGGCACCCCATATAGTCCCCAGAGCCCCACCAGGAGAGACCCTGAATGCAGAGCCAAGAGGAAGCCCTGAGTACTACTGGGTGTGGCCCCCAAACCAAACCAACCTGGGTGGAAGTCACGCTGCAGCCTGCCTGGGGGTGAAAGGTTTGACTCCTCATCTAGCACCCCAACTTTTAGGGCCTCTCATCGGAGGGCTGGGTTCCCCAAATTCCTAACTCAACTCCAATAGGGTTCTGCCGAGAAGTGCCTGAAGCCACGAGCATGAAGCTGGGGCTCTGCAGCCTCACAGGCGAGATGATCTACTTCCCACCCTCCCCGGTGCCGGGAGCACTTTGACCGGCCAGCCACGGAAGCGGGGGATACGCTGCCCAATCCTAACCCAGTGAAAGGCACCAGTCCCCCGCTTATGGGATCTTTGCAGGGGTCTGTGCACCAGCTCTTGGGCCCATCTCTGCATCGTCTCTCTGACAGTCAACAGGAATAGCACACGAACTTCACGGGAGCACGGCCAGCCCAAGCCAGGCCCACTGGCTCCCACCCAGGTCCTGCACAAGGTTGTCACTGCTTCTCCCTGGAAGGGGCCTGAGCATACTAAACCCCGCTTCCAGCCGGGCTGCAGTGCATCCTTGGAGGGAGCCTGGCCCTTGGGGTGGGGGTGCTGCTATGGAAACAGGACCAAAGCGAGAACTGAGAGCTCGGGCAGGGCTGGCTGAAGGTTCATTTCCTACAGAAGATTGTTCCCCTGAAACTGCTAGAGACGCACAGGAAGTGACCAGGAAATGGGCGAATGGAGAGAGAGAAACGGGAAAGGGAAAATTTCAACAGAGACCGAAGAGATTAATAAGCATCAAACAGGCCAGAGCGACAGCACCAGGGGTGGAGGCAGGAAGAACAATAGCAGTCTGTGATCTAGAAGAAAGGAACCCAAGTTTTGAAAATAGGTCAATGGAATTCATCCCATCAGCTGGGATAAAATGAAAAACAAAAGCAAAAATAGAGGGGCTGGAGCCATAGCACAGCGGGTAGGGCACTTGCCTTGCATGTGGCCAACCTAGGTTTGGTCCCCTGAGCATCGCCAGGAGTAATTCCTGACTGCAGAGCCAGGAGTAACCCCTGAGCAACGCCAGGTGTGACCCCCAAAAACAAAGATGACAAAAAAATGGGCGTATGGGCTACCTCCCCATTAAGGGTTTTAGGAGAAAAAGCTTTGTTTTGAGGCCACCCCTAGCAGTGCTCCGGGCTCACTCCTGGCAGTACTCGGGGGACTGTATGTGGTGCAGGGGATCGAACCAGAGCTGGGTGCACGCAGAGGAAGTACCTTCCCCCTGCATGATCTCCCCGACCCAGACTAGAAAGAAGAAAAGGCTGAGAGTGTGTGCGAGGCCCAGGCGGGGGGCGGGGAGCCTATGACAACTGCCTCCATCACTGCTTCACTGACGCCCCGACTGGGACTCGTCAGGAAACGGAGCCCTGGGAACATGATGGAGGGGGAAAAGCAGCCCAGGGCAGAGCACTGCACTATGAGCAGGAGGAGGGCCCCACAGTCGAGGCTTTGCCCTGGGAGAGGTGCTCGGCACCCCATCCGCCTCCCGGGGCCTGCCACACTGGACAGCAGCTGGGCCCACAAGCACAGCTTGGGACCACTCGCTGGCCTCACTCGGTGACCTCATCTCTCAGAATCCCCACGGGAGACTTTGCCCACCCCATGCAGACAGTGGGGCCGGCTCAAGCGGGGCAAACAGACGACCACACCCCGGTACCCCCACTGCTGCCCATCTCTGCTCAAGGCTCCGCCCCATGCAGAGCAGCTGGGGGATCCACCCACTGCCCCCCGTCCCCTCCCCCTCAGCCCCCGAAGCCTCAGTTTCCCCCACAGGCCCGTCTTATAAGGCTGCACACTCTCGCCTCCCTCTGGCCCTAAGCAAGCCCCAGGCTTGTTGGAAATAGGCCCACAGAGACTGCTACGTTCCTGTTCCAATAAGCCTGGTGTCCAGGGCGCCCTGACGCCCTGTCCCCCCCCCCGCCAAGATAGGCTTCCGCAGTGACAGGGACACAGTGACCAGTCCCGGCAAGAGGAAGCGGGGCCCAGTCCCGGAGCGGCTGCATGTCGGGGAAGAACCTCAAGCCCGGACAGAGTCACAAGCTGTTCCCGAGGTGTGGGGACGGCACAGGCGCGAGGGCACGAGGCTTTCCCCTGTGCGGTTCTCCCCGGAACACATGTGAGCACAGCTCAGCTCAGCCACGTGACGTGACTGTGACCACAGGCTCAGTAAACACTACAGCGCAGCCTCAACCCCTTCTCACCCCAGTTTGCTATTCTCATCAGCTACAGCCTTGACAATCCCATTTGGGGGCTGAAGCGATAGTGCAGCGGGGAGGGCGCCTGGGAGGGCGATGTCCCTGAGCATCACAGGTGCCCCCCCCAAAAAAAAATCCCACTTCTGTCCATTTACTAAGAAGCCAATTCTGCTTTTAAATTCTAATTTTTTTTTTTTTTTTTTGCTTTTTGGGTGACACCCAGAGATGCACAGGGGTTACTCCTGGCCCTATACTCAGGAATTACTCCTGGCGGTGTTCAGGGGACCATATGGGATGCTGGGGATTGAACCAGGTTGGCTGCATGCAAGGCGAATGCCCTACCCACTGTGCTATCACTCCGGCCTCCCTAAAAATCCCCCTTTGTTTCGCACAAACTTTGGACCTCCCCCTTGCACAGCAAGAATTCTGCCGCTGAGGCACACCCTGGGCCCTAGAGCAAGTCTTTTCCTCGTCCTGAGACTGTCTCTTAACTCTCACTACCCATCTCCGCCATCAGCTTCTGAAGTCTAATACTTACAGGAAACCAGGCTCACTTCAGTGACTGAACTAATGGTTCATTTTTAAAGTTCCTGAAGAATCTGCGAAAAAAAAATCTTGATTCTTCCTCGGGGGGCGGGGGATTCCTTCTTGAGGCCTCCGAGGTAGTGCTGAGGGGGTACCTGGCTGAATGCCTGGTAGGTGCTGCTGGGGACCACATGGTGCCGGGACCTAATCCATGGCTCCCACATGCAGAGCCCTGCGCTCTAGCCTGCGGGCCTTGAGCAGGTTTAGCGTCTTAGATTTTTTTTTTAAGTTAAAAAATTTTTTTTATTGAATCACCATGAGATAGAACGTTACAAAGCTTTTCATAATTGAGTTTCAGTCATACAACATTCCAGCACCCATCCCTCCACCGTGTAATTTCCCAGCACCAGTGTCCCCAGTTTCCCTCCCACCGCTTCAGGCCACCCCTCAAAATTCCCTCCACCTCTTTTCTCTGTCTCTTGGGCATTGTGGTTTGCAATGCAGATGCTGAAAGGTTCTCACGTATATCCCTTTTACCTTCTTTCAACACTCAGTTCTTGTCCAGAATGATCAATCAATCAATCAATCACAAATCATCCTGTTATTCGTCAATTGCCTCGAGCAGGCCCCAGTAACGTCTCCTTCATCCTAGCCCTGAGATTATATTCAAGGCTCTTTAGGAGAATGAGACCCATCACTGTTACTGGTATTTGGCATATTGGGTACGTCACGGGGAGTTTGCCAGACTCTGCCGTGTGGGCAGGCTACATTCGGTCCAGAATGATCATTTCCAACTATTGTCCTGCCAGACTCTCCTCTATCTTAACTACCCTCCACCCCCACCCAAACACACACACACACACACACACACACACACACACACACACACACACACACACACACTTTGTCACATGGTACTCAGCTACACAGCAGAACCTTTCGGGCGCGTCTTGGCATCATTTAGCCACGAGGTGGCAGCATTGCATTCTTGAGAGGACCGCTGCGGTCCTTCGCGACATTTGTTTTTTGCTTCCTCTCGCCTCCCGGGTCTTAGCCCAGGTCTGCAGCTGATTTCCCTGGCACAGGCAGGCAGAGCATTAAGAACCAGGGGCCAGGAGACAGTGCTGCCCCCGCCCCCCCCCCCCCCCCGCACCAACAGCGCCCAAACCACGACGCAAACAGTCCCATGCAACAGGAGCTGTGATCCTTTGTGTGCTGGGAAGAGCTGACCCATTTTAGTCACCTGACTTAAAAACTGGCGGAGACGCCAGAGTTTTGACAGATGCTTATCAGATGTTACATGTGGGGTTAAACAACTGTTTTCCACACAGGCCGGCAGGCCTCCCAATTCAGGCTTCCTTCCGACACTGCCCCTGAGGCCAGCATCTCAGCCCCTGGCACTGACAAGTCAAACCCCATCTGTCCCTGGGCACAGTCACAGCCAACTGCAGTGTGTTGACAACTGACAGAGCGTCTTGGACAAATTATTGGTGGGCAGGGTTTGGGGCCACACCCTGCAATGCTCAGGGGCTAGTCCTGGCTCTGTGCTCAGGAGTGACCCCTGGCGGTGCTTAGGGGACCCTACACAATGTTGCAGAAGGAACCCAGGGTTGGCCAGACGCAGGGCAAGCACCTTACAGCCTCTACTATTTCTCCAGCTCATATATCTGGAGTTTCTATACCTGAAAACTTCTATTTCTTGTTAACTTCCATGTATGTTCATGGTGACTTCTTTAGGGTCCCGAGCAAGCCAGCAACGGCTGCTTTATTCAGTCTGTGTCAAAGCTGCCAATTCGTGGCTCCATATATGGTCCCCTGGGCACTGCCAGGAGTAATTCCTGAGTGCGGAGCCAGGAGTGACCCCTGAGCATCACCGGGTGTGACCCCAAAACCAAATACAGAATGAAATAAGGAAAGGAAAGGAAAAAGGAAGGAAAAAAAGAAAAAAGATGAGAGGGAGAGAGGGAGAGGGAGAAGTGGGGGGGGGGGGGGGGAAAGAGAGAGAGAGAGAGAGAGAGAGAGAGAGAGAGAGAGAGAGAGAGAGAGAGAGAGATCCCCGTCGGGTAATAAAGGTTTCCAAGACAAACTTTGATTTTGATCAAATGTTGCTTCGTTACTTCCTCCCTCCTTCCCTTTTTTTTTTTTTTTTTTTTTTTTTTGGTTTATGGGCCACACCTGGCAATGCTCAGGGGCTGCTCCTTGGTCTTCACTCAGAAATTTTTCCTGGTGGTACTGGGGGGACCCTACGGGATGCCATGGAGCAAAAAACCCTCAGTTGACTGTGTGACGGCAAGTGCCCTGCCTATAGTATTGTATCTCTGGCCCCAAAACCACTGGTTTCTGAGTCAAATCTACATTATACAAACTAGAGGTCAGCAGGGTTTTTCTACAGAGCAGTTAGAAAGTAAATAATCCCACAGGCCATGCAGTCTGTCGCTGGCTGCTGCTATGGCCAGCTGCAAACAGGCCTGGGGCAGCTTTGCTCTTCGAGCTGAACACTCTCCACGTAACCAACATGGGCAAAGGTTTAGTGCAAAATGACCAACTCGCGAACACCCCCACACTTCCAAATGGTGGGCAAGAAATCTCGTGTTGTCCACTGCAATTTTCCCCGTGTTACAGCAATAACCTAGAATCTCCTGCCCGCGTGCCAGGCTGTCTTCACCTCGGAGGGGGTCGGGTTGAGTTTCCCTCCCTGCCCCAAGCAGAGCTCCGGCAGTTGCAGACCTCCGGAACCCAGCCACAGCCATGCTCAAGGCCACTCTCCACACACTCAGACGAGCCTCACGCATGAAGGAACCAACAGAGAAACCCAGGTATGTGGGACCCATGGCTGAGATCTCCAAGCCTGCTCAGTTAGGGACTGGGCCTCCTCCACCCAGATCCCCCACCTTCCAGTAGCTTGGCAGCTACACCCACAAAACACCCCTGGGCACCATGGAATCCCATCTAACAGCCAAGATCCAGAGATTATAAAACAAAGCTCCCAGAAGCACATGGCTACATTCAAGGCCATAGACCTCTCATAGTCTAGCCCATTGATGTCCCTAAAGCAACACAGATGTTTGGTTTTAACATACTTGCTTGTATTCTCTTATACACATTCTCCGCCCCTCTCGGAGAGCCCGGCAAGCTACCAAGAGTATCCCGCCTGCACGACAGAGCCTGGCAAGCTCCCCCTGGCATACTCGATATGCCAAAAACAGTAACAATAAGAGGTCTCATTCTCCTGACCCTGAAAGAGCCTCTGATATGGCAACGTTGGGAAAGACGAGTAAGGAGAGGCTGCTAAAATCTCAGGGCTGGGATAAAATGGAGATGTTACTGGCACCCGCTCGAGCAAATGGATGCCAGTGATACAATGATACCGAAATAATGGCATGTTCATTTCCAATGACAGAGGGTTCTCAGAGTGGGCCCAGTTCTGCCAACTCTCCCCAGCACCCTGGAACCGCTTACCTGCGTGTAGTCACCCGAAGGCTGAGAGTAAGTGATGCACTTGCCCAGCGCGGGCGGCTCGCTTCCCTGAGAGATTGCCTCCAGGAGGTCGCCCGCGGTTGCAGCCTTCGGCAGACCGGCTTTACCTACAGGGGCTGAAGGAAACCAGGAGGTGCGCTATAGGAACGACTGCAAACTGACACCTGGCCCCAGAGTTCAGTCACTCCGCCTCTTCTCAGAGAGACCACAAACTTCAGCTTGCTACTATGTATCGCTACTATCGCTACTTTGTATCCCAGGGAGAAATACATCTAATAATATAGTCTGCATGGCACAGTACCGGCTCATTTCTTTCAAAAGCTGAAAATGAAGCTTGTCCCCGAAATAAATAACTTGGATAGAAGCATTTTAAAATACTATCTGGTTTCTAAAACAGAGGATACAAAAATATTCATTAACCATTCTTGCTAAAGGAATAGCTATAATTTTTTAAAACCAGATAACAAAAATAATACTATTAAAGCACAATACTTTCCCCCGCCCCCCCCCCCCCGGCTTTTCAAAAAATTACTCATTTTAAGTTCAAGGGAATGGATCAGAAAAGACAAAGAATGTATGCTGAAAACAAAATTCATCTTCCATCTCATTTCATTCAATCCTATTGCTTTTCCTTGAAGAAATAGTTCCAATTCCAACTAATTTTTCGAGTTACTTCGTGTATTTATACATTCAAATAAGTGCCGGTAAGAACATATGACTTCAATATGAATGAAATCATTTTATTATGTACACATTGGCTTTTTTCACTTGAATGTCTGAGATCTTTTTTCGTGTCTTCCCCAACTAAAATAAAGTCACACTGAGTTCCCTGTGGGAGGAGACATGGAGGTATTCCCCAGCAATTATTAAGACACGCTTTAGTTCTCGCTATTGACAATCGATGTCGTGGGGACCCTCCCAGGGGCTGAACACATGACGTCTGTGATCCTTCTTCAGACACTATTGAACTTCACTGTCAGTGGGTCGGAGGACAGTGGGTCAGCGGCTTGTCTTGTATGTGACAGCCCCGAGTTCAATCCCTGGCAGCATGAGTCAGGAGCCGACCTGTGCTCAGGAGAGTGGTGCAAAACCAAAGGCAAACGTTCATTTATTTATTTTTATTTTGCTTTTTGCATCACACCCAGCGATACTCAGGGATTACTCCTGGCTCATGCACTCAGAAATTACTCCTGGTGGTGCTCAGGGGACCATATGGGATGCTGGTAATCGAACCCGGGTCGGCCACATGCAAGGCAAATGCCCTAACCACTGTGCTATCGCTCCAGCCCCAACAGCAAATTTTTAAAAATCACCCTTGGAAAGGGATTTAATGTTTGGTGCAGCTACTATACCCTGCCAGATTTTCTTTCTGGTACCCTTGATGGAGGGCTCTCTATTCTTTGTCTTACACTGGGAGGGGTTGGGCCACACCCAGCAAAGGAACAGCCTGATAAAATCCCACAAAAACCTGTCATCAATTTATACCAACTGTTAGCCTACAGAGGCTAAGAAAAGTCAACAAGAATTCCATTTGGGGGAGGGGGGGGTGGAGAGACAGTCAGGGGTTAAGGCACTTGCCCTGCACATTCCTGATGGAGGTTTAATCCCCAACACCACATCTGGTCCCTGGGGCCCTGCCTGGAGTAACCCCGGAGTGCAGGGCCACGATGAAGCCCAATGGAGAACTATGGGAATATTCTGGATATAGTAGGTCACTTTTATGTTTAAACCTCAGGTGTTCCAGAAACATGATTCCATACATCATAACAAAATTAGAGTATTGTCAATTCCCTTGCCCTGGTTCCTTTTTTGGGGGGAGGGGGAGAAATGGGTAGGTGGGAAGGTTTTGGGGTCTTGCCTAGCAGCACTTGGGGCTACTCCCAGCTCTGTAGTGGGGAGGCCACGTGGCACCGAGGGCCAGACCCACCTTTGCTCGCCTTCAAGGCAGGCGCCTCAGTCCTGTCTGATCTCTCTGGCCAGCCCCCACTCAGCCATTTCCCACAGGACCCAGCAGTGATTCATGACACTGATTATAACCGTCAAACCCAAAAGTCGCCTTCCTTACATAAAACAGAACGCTTTTTGTTTTGGGGCCACACCTGACGGTGCTCAGGGTTTATTCCCAGCAGTGCTTGAGAGGGGCCCGTCTGGGATGCCGGGATCCAACGGGGGTCGGCTGCATGCAAGGCCAAGACCCAACGTGCTAAATACTACCTAGTTCTCTGTCTCCCTAACGCATTTTCTTTTTTTTTTCTCTTTGGGTGACACTCGGCGATGCACAGGGGTTACTCCTGGCTCCGCACTCAGGAATTACTCCTGGCAGTGCTCGGGGGACCAGATGGGATGCTGGGAATCGAACATGGGTCGGCCACGTGCAAGGCAAACGCCCTACTTGCTGTGCTACTGCTCTAGCTCCACATTTCCAACATCTCTATGTCACTCTCGCCCATGAAAGGATTCAGGCTTTTGGTGGTGCCGGAAGGGCCTGCTGTGCTTCCCTGACGTTCAGACTGAAGTCACGTCCCGGGCCCCGGCCTCCCTTACGTGATAGGCAGACACCGGGAAGCACACTTGCCAAGTTCAAGTACGGGTTTTTGCTGAGCCGAATTTCTTTCGGTGGTTCTCCCAGGAGCGATGTCTGATTCTTAGCAGCGGCCTGTGGACCAAAAGTGAGAGTGAGCACCCACGGAGGGGGAGGAGGCAGTGAAAACGCGCCCGGGGAAGGAGGAACTTCTCCATCCAGCTCACCGGCTATGAGAAAGATGTGTGGCCCCTCATGTTTGGAAATACAAACATCTCTAGATAATGACACGAGTGGTTCTATTTTATCGATTTTTTTTTCTTTTTTATTCTTTTTCTGGTTTCTGGGCCCCACCTGGCAGTGCTCTGGGATCACTCCTGGTGGTGCTTAGGGGAACCAAGCGGTGCCAGGGGTTGCTGTGCACGTGGCGGAGCTCGGATTGCCCTTGGAGCTTGCAGGCTCGGCCCTCTGAACCCTCTTGCTAGCCCTCGGTTCATTTTTTATTTTTCACATTAGAAACTGGGCTGGAGAGAAGTCAGAAGACTGAACGTTGAACTCCCACCATCACAGAGGGTCCCCGGGGTGCCTCAGGGGGCAACCTCTGGAGTCGGTTATGGACCCACTCTTAAGACATAAAAAAGTAAATCAATGATACGGACCTGCATAACTTTAAGAGAATTATATGCTGTTTTGCACCAGCTTCTCTTCTGAACCAGGAGTGGGTTCATCGTGGAAAGAATCAACCAGCATCGACCACCACTCCCGAGCACACTGGGATGCTGAAGACTCTCCTGGCTCCACCCACTCCCCCTCCCTTCGCGGCTGCTGCTACAGGTGGCCTCACACACAGACACATGTGGCCGAGGCGCTCGCCCACGCAGCTGGGGTGCAGGCTGAGGGTTGGTGTCAGAGCCCGGTGCCTGCCGGGGCTGGCTGTGGGACCCCCACACACCCTCCAGGGCTCACTTTCTGGCCCTCACAGCTGAGGGCAAATGCGCTTCTTTCATGGCTACTTTCATCTTTCATGGCTACGCGAGGGTGTGGTGTGGTAAAAGGGGTGGGGTGGGGGGGTGTCACCTCCAGCTGTGCCGCTCACATGCGCCCGCTGTGGACCAGGACACAGCAGGGCCAGATGCCTGGTTCCAGCAGGCTTGGAGGTAGTGGTGGTGGTGGTGGTGGTGGTGTGTGTGTGTGTGTGTGTGTGTGTGTGTGTGTAAGCCACAAGGCTGCCTGTGCTCTCCAAAGCACTGGGCAGCGCATCCACCTTTCACTTGGGTTTTACTCTTGAGAATTTTATTGTATTGTATTGTCTTTATTTATTTAATTTTTTGCTTTTTGGGTCACACCTGGCGATGCTCAGGGGTTCCTCCTGGCTCTGCACTCAGGAATCACTCCTGATGGTGCTTCGGGGACCATATGGGATGTGGGGAATTGAGCCCGGGTTGGCCACATGCATGGCAAGCACCTCACCTGCTGTACCATCGCTCCGGCCCCCGAGAATTTCATTTTACACGTAGGGCCACAGCCAAAGGACCAAGCTAAAGCTTATGTATCTCTGGCACTAAAAATTACCCGATCAAAAAGGGAACCCTGGATTGTGGTTTCATGAGCACTGACCGCAGAGCTGAGTCAGCTTGTTCAAGAAACATCCTATCTGGGAATCAGTATTTACGGTCTTGACACATTTTCACTCCCTTTAACATCCGAAAATAACTAATATTGCTTTATAGTTCTGCATAAAATCCACTTCATACAGTGTTCTATAGTAACACTCTAAGTTTGCCTTTCCATTTTCTTTTTCTTCTCATTTTTTACTTTCTTTGGTCATACTTGGCATGCTCAGGGGCTACTCCCAGCCTCTGCACTCTGGGGAGCTCCCAGCAGTGCTCAGGGGAATTATGGTGCCAGGATGGAACCTGGGCCTCCCCCATGCAAAGCCTGAGCTCTAGCTTTGAGTCCCACCCTGGGTACAGATTTCCATTTCATCAAAAGATATGAAAATCCTCTATCTTTCATATAAGTCATCAGAGTTATTATTGGCTTAATCACTTAATCACTTAACTTCCCATTAGTCGTCGATTTGCTTGAGCGGGCGCCAGTAACGTCTCCATTGGTCCCTGTCGCATGCTAGTGTAGTCCAATGGCATCTGTTCGCTCCGGGAACATGAAGGGCCTCAAACCGATCGTTCATGATCTTGAGGAAGAAGTCTGACCATCTGGTAGGTGGGCGGCCACGCGGTCTTTTGACATCCCATGGAATCCAGTCGGTAACAGCTCTAGTCCAGTGGTCGTCTTTAAATCTCATTACGTGACCAGCCCATCTGATTTTCGACACCTTGGCAAATGCGACAGCGTCCCTGATCCTTGATCATCGACGGATGTCAGAACTCCGGATTCTTTCTCTCATTTGAGTGAAACGTGATATTCCAAGCATAGCTCTTTCTATTCTTCTTTGGGAGACCTGAATAGCGTTCTCATCTTGTTTGCGTAGGGCCCAGGTCTCTGAGGCATATGTTAATGCAGGAAGAACAGTGGAATCAAAGAGATGTGCCCGGAGCCGGAGGTTCTTCATCCTCTTAGCTATTTCTTCGACGTTCTTGAAGGCGTTCCAAGCCGCTCTCTTCCTCCTGCGCAGCTCAGGTGCCAGGTCATTTGTCATTTTTTGGCTAGTTTTGAATATTTTTTGGAGGCGGGGACACCCCCGTGGCGCTCAGGTCTTAGTCCTGGCTCTGTGCTCAGGGGTCACGCCTGGCAGGGTTTTGGGAACCATGTGGGATACTGGGATCGAACCTGGGTCATCCATGTGCAAGGGAAGCATCTACTTGCTGTACTCTGTCTCTGGCCCTTAACTCATACGAGTTAAGTTTTCTACATCGGTTGCAGAAAAACGCAGAGCTGGATATGGGTGGGACCTGGGCTGGCCAGACAGCTGCCTGGTGTGCAGGAGGCTGAGGTATCAGTCCCATTTTTGGCACACGGCGAGCGAGCACAGGCCCCAGCCCCACCGTCACCCCCAGCATCACACGCGGCCACTCAGCAGTGACCGGGGGCCAAGGGGTGTCGGGATGGACTCCAGGGTCTCATATGCACAGGAGCCAATACTGCCCCCAAGCGACAGTATTCTGAACTTGGTTTGTAAATAAATGTCTTTTCGAATACCCAGCGTTCAGGGAATCAGGCTTGTGGCAGCCTTTTCGGGCCAGCTGACAGTAATAACTGCTCATATTAACGTGACTGTGATCAAAATGATTCTATGACTGGAACCCCATCACAGACAACTTCGGAACTATGTATCTCACTGTGATTCAATGAAAAATAAATGAAATAAAATGATGGTGTAATAGACTTTGGAATCTCAATTTAGGGCTTGGAAGGCTCCAGGGGCTGGGACGAGATCTGTGCTTGCAGGGACCTCGGGGTCCACCCGCACCCCACCAGGAAAGACCCCGAGCACTGAGCTGGAAGGGGCCCCAACACTACCAGGCGGGGCCAAGAACAAGTAAATATACACAATGGAGCCAAAAAAAAACAAGCTCATATGAGACATCGAGCTGCAGAGTTTATGCCTTTTACGAACGAGGCCCTGGGGTGGATCACAGCGCAAAACAAAATTCACATTCTACGTATAGAAAATTATTTTACGAACTTACAAACCCTAACACCAATCAGTAAAGGTAAAGGTAAAGGCCCTCCCGTTGATCGTCGATTTGCTCGAGCGGGCCCAGTAACGTCTCCATTGGAGACTTTGTTGTTACTGTGTCTGGCATATCGAATACTCTCGGTAGCTTGCCGGGCTCTCCGAGAGGGACGGAGGAATCGAACTCGGGTTGGCCATGTTGGCCGCTTGTAAGGCGAACGCCCTACCTGCTGTGCTATCGCTCCAGCCCCAATCAGTAGAACTGAATAAAAAAAAATTCTTTGTTCACAGAAGCCTAAGAGTCCAGCGGCAGCTTCTATTCAAGAAGTAGATAGATGCTAAGGAAAAGTGACATCATGGGCATTCTCTTTTTTCTTTTCTTTTTTTTTTTTTTGCTTTTTGAGTCACACCCAGTGATGCTCAGGGGTTACTCCTGGCAGTGCTCGGGGGACCATATGGGATGCTGGGAATCGAACCCGGATCAGCCGCGTACAAGGCAAAAGCCCTACCAGCTGTGTTATCGCTCCAGCCCCAACGGGTATTTTAACAGGCTGGGGTGGGCAGTGCCAGTGGCCCAGCCTGGAATGAGGTTTCCTTCACACTAACCGCAGAGCCAGTCAATATGTTAAAGCAAACATCCCATTTGGGGTCCATATTTATAGTCTTGACAAAGACTCACTCTCCTTGACATCTGAAAATAGCTAATACTGCTTTACGGTGCTGCATAGATCCTGCCTGTAAAATAATGAAACATCAGCATATTCCAATTAGACGGAGTTGAGTGAGGATGATGTAAAGGCACACACCCCTGTGTAGCGGGGGCGTCACACAGGCAGGATGTGCGGCGTTACCTGCCCAGGCGTGTGTACGCACACGGCTCTTACCCCGGGACTCATCTCTGCGCCTTTCGGCTGGCTTTGGGGCTGCTTGTGGGGTCCCGTCAGCAAGCCCCCGGTAGGGAGGCTGGAGAAGCTCTGAAGATACGACCCTGAGAGGTTCCCGTCTGCAGTTCCCAACGCCGGCTGCTTGTCCTGTGCGCTCCCGGGCCCTGCGTGGCCCGCCAGGTGTGGGCCGGGGAAGAAAGGCAGCACTCCCATTCCTGCACCGAAGGCGCCCTGAGCCGGGACCAGGCTGGACGCTGCAGAGAAGCACAAACGCACAAACGTGGTCAGCGTCGGACTCGTGCGCGGCCATTATGGGAGAGAGGGCGGGGCCGGGAATGAGCAGGTGACTACTGTGTGGGGAACCTAACCCACCCCTCACCCCAATGCACACACACAAAACCACACAAACACACACACATCCACACACACATCCACACATATTCACACACATACATATACATACACACATATCCACACACATCCACATTCACACACGCATACACACATCCACACACATGTTCACATCCACATACATACACACATCAACACACATCACACACATCCACACAAATCCACATACACACCTACACATCTACACACATACATACATGTATACACATTCACACATACCACACATACACTCACATACATACATTCATACATACATATCCACACACATGCATACACACATACACACATGCATATACACACATATCCACACACATCCACATATGCATACACACATAAATATCACACACATCCACACATACCACACATACACACATAAACATACACATACACACACCATACAAACACACACGCACACATACTACACAAACATAGACACACACATATACCACACATACACACATATCCACACATCCACATATCCACCCACATACACATATGCATACACACATCCACACATCACACACATCCACACACACGCATAAACACATATATACATATGCACACACACATCCACACACACATACACATATATACATATTCACACAGACATCCACACACACACATGCATTCACACACATACTGCAGAAACATACACATGCATACACACATATCCACAGACATCCACATCCACAGGCATACACCCACACATGCACACACATATCCACACACACGTCCACATCCACACATCCACATGTGCATACACAGATATATACACATACACATACACACACATACACACACAGCTGGCACGCTTTCCTTATTTTCAACCACATCTGGACAAACCTCAAGGATAATACATGTTTTTAACTCCAAGTTTTAACTGACTATTTTAGAAGCTGAGAGCAAAACATATGTGATTTGCAGGGTGGGGGACATCCTAAGATATGTCACTGCCTTAAAAAAAAATCAATGTCCTGAAGCAGCGTCCGTACTTGAAGGGGGTAGTTAAGTGGGCACGGAGCTTAGAAGTGATCTGCCACTTAAGATGAATGAAGTTGGGATAATCTAACAACAGGTTCGTTGGCAGGCTCGTGTCCACACAGGAGAGATGACTTCTTAGTTCTTCCCAGCCTGAATCCAGCAGGTGACCTGGAGGCTGCCCTGCTGGGGTGCTCACACAGACTCACAGACGCTGCCAATCAAGACCTGTCTTTGCTTGGGGGCTCAGAACTGGGGGCTGCTCCCAGGAGGGCCAAGGAGGGATGCGGTCTGCAGCCCCACCTCGAACCCGCGCCCCATGCGCAGGCTTCTCTCTTAACCAGGAAGCAGGATCCTGAACACCAGCACCCCACTATTTAAAAACCATCGCGGGGAGGGCGCCTGCCTTGTACAGCAACCTGGGCTTGAACCCCAGCATTCCAGGTGGTCCCCGGAGCCCACCAAGAGTGATCCCTGAGCACAGAGCCAGGAGTGATCCCTGAGCACTGCTGGGTGTAGTCTAACAACAACAAAAACAACAACAAACTATCGATATCTGTGGCTAGACGAGAGAAAATATTTGGAAGTTTTAATTTTTATTTATGGGCAATAGTGTAAAAATCTAGAAGATGTGAAATTTTTATTTTTTGGCTTTTGAGCCATACCCGGCAGTGCTCAGGGCTTTACTCCTGGCTCAATACTCAGGTCACTCCTGGCTGTGCTCAGGGTGATAGGATGGAACCCAGGTCGGCCGTGTGCAAGGCAGGTGCCCTGCCTGCTGTACTATCTCTTCAGCTCCAAGAAGATGTAGAATTTTTCAAATCAGAACATCTGTGCCAATCTACTTTTAAAAGACTGATAAGTCAAAACTAAATGATAAAAATGACTGTTAATTACTTTTGGCAAAATTTAATTCTCACAAACCCACTAAGCAATTTTCTTAAATTATTTTCAAGCACGAAATAATCAGAAGTGCATATTCTGGTCCTAACGTTTGGTGATACAGTCATCTGGATGCCTTGGATTTTCAGGGTTCTAAAAGCATATGTTTAAATGAATGCTTTATTGTTTAATCCAACACAAATATTATTCACTTACAAACGCTTTTAATCATACAAAATCTAATATTTGGAACCACAAAACTCCCCGAATAGTCAATGCTATTTCGAGACAAACGAAGCTGAGAGAAAATGCATGAGCTGCCTCTTATACTGCTAAGCGACAGTAATCAGCACTGCACAGTCCCAGAATAAAGAGAGGCTTCAGGCTAGAACCGGAGGCCCAGAGGAAACCCTCAGATGTACAGACAGTTGATCTCTGACCAAGGGGTCAAGGGCACAAAGTAGAGTGAGGAAGATCTCTGAAACCATGCTGGAAAAATGGCTCGGATCATGAAAGAAAAAAAAAAGAAAAAGAAAAAAAAAGGAAGAAACAAAGAAACTAGGCCCCTATCTCACACCATAAAGTAAGTAAGTAAAAGTAAAGGCCCTCCCGTTGATCGTCGATTTGCTCGAGCGGGCCCAGTAACGTCTCCATTGGAGACTTTGTTGTTACTGTGTCTGGCATATCGAATACTCTCGGTAGCTTGCCGGGCTCTCCGAGAGGGGCGGAGGAATCGAACTCGGGTCGGCCATGTTGGCTGCTTGTAAGGCGAACGCCCTATCCGCTGTGCTATCGATCTCACACCATAAACAAAAGTGAATTCAATGGGCCTGGAGCATACACAGCAGGTAGGGTGTTTGCATTGCATGCCGCCGACCCAGGTTCTATTCCCAGCAGTAACCCCAGGAGTAACCCCTGTCTCTGCTTTGCCGGGTGTGACCCAAAATGCAAAAAATATAAATAAAATAAAATAATTTTTTTTCTCTTTGGGTCACACCTGGCGATGCTCAGGGGTTACTCCTGGCTCATGCACTGTTGCTCCTGGCAGTGCTCGGGGGACCATATGGGATGCTGGGAATTGAACCCGGGTCAGCTGCGTGCAAGGCAAACGCCCTACCTGCTGTGTTATCGCTCCAGCCCCAATAAAATAAATTTTTTAAAAATGTATTCAAAATGAATTCAAGACCTTGGTATCAGAACGGAATCCTTTGGGCACCCTGAGGAAAGCAGGCCCAAGAAAGTGTGCAGGAAGGAACAAGCCAATCCAGGTTGGATCCTTGGGCACCAAATATGCCCCCCAACACCACTGGGGGTCACTCCTGAGCTCAGAGATGGGAACAGCCGCTGTCACCCCAATACTCCCCACAAGTATACCCAGGAAAGCATGGGCAGAAGTCTCTCCAGTGTCAACCAACCCCGAGGAGTTTTCCACTAGACAACACCACTGGCAAAGAAAACAAAGAGAGAAATAAACTCATGGGACTGGTTCATACTTAAAAGCTTCTGCATGGCAAAAAAAAAAAAAAAAAAAAGACAGCTAAAATAGACACCCTAACCCAAACGGAAGAAGATATTCACACAGACACTGAACCAAGAGCCGATTTCCCAAGCGTGTGGAGAATTTACGAAGCTCTCCATGTTTTATGGAGAATTTACAAACAATTCCCAAAACACAGGGGTGAGGTGGGGCCAGAGAGAGGGGCGTGGAGAATGTGGGTTCAGTCCTGGACACCACAAACGGTCCCGGCCAGGAGTGACCCCTGAGTACCCGTGGGGGTGGCTCTCCCCGTACCTAAAAAAGTTCTAGTCACATCTGTCCTCACGTCTGTTCGGAGACACAGATTACATTTTATTTCTTGTCTCCCAATTCGGAGAATGACGTACTTCAGCTGCTACAAACAAAGAAGCAAACTCTAAACAAATACCGGCCCCTTCTCCACGGAAGTGAAGGGCTTCCTGTCCGGGTGAACATTTCAAGGGAACTGTGCAGTCCCCTGCCCACCCCCGGCCCCATGTGTCCGCCCCAGGCTGCCGGGAACTGTTCTGGTGTACCCCTCCCACTGGGTGATGTCGGTGGGTGTGGAGACCAGGCCATCAGGAACTGTCCAAGGGCTCCTGGACTAACATGTCAAAACAGAAAGAGCTACAGGGGCTCCTAGGAGCGCGGCAGAATCAGCTGTGAGCCTCCTGCCGCTGGGTGCAGACCCTGACGCCCCCCTGGCTCCCAGCACCTCAGGAGATGTGCTCCACTCACTTTAATTTACTTTTTAAATTTTTTAATGAATCACCATGAGATGCAGTTACAAACTTCTGTTTCAGATATACAATGATCCAGTACCCATCCCTCCACTAGTGCCCATTCTCCACCACCAATGGTCCCAGCATCCCTCCCACCACCCACACCCCATTTCCCACCCCCCCTGCCCCCCCCGCCTCTGTGGCAGGTGTATTTCCTTTTCCCTTTTATTCTCTTTCTCTCTCTCTCTCTCTCTCTCTCTCTCTCTCTCTCTCTCTCTCTCTCTCTCTCTCTCTCTCCCCCCCCCCCTTCCTTTGGGGTGTTGTAGTTTGCAATACAGGTATTAAGTGTCCATCATGTTCGGTCTATAGTTTACGTTCAGCACGCATCTACCATCCCGAGTGGGCCCTCCAAGCATCCTTTCCTTGTCCACTCACTTTTCTGGGCGTCTCCATGGTGGCCCAGCTCAGGCTTCAAGGGCAGCGCCGAGCCGATCCCTATGGCTGTCTGCAGGACCATGGCCGGGGGTTCTCCGAGTAAGCCCGGTTTCTGCAAACGCACACAAGACAGTGAGACAGGGTCTGTGGCACTGGACAGCGGGGCACACCCACGTTCCACCCCACCCCACCCCACCCCACCGCCTGCCTGCAGGAAGGACGGGAGTGCGCCTTTCAGATTCTTGTTTTGTTTTGTCCACGCATGGAAGGACTCAGGGGCTATTCCTGGCTCACTCCTGGAGGTGTTCAGGGGATCATACAGGACACCAGGGATGGAACCTGGGTTGGCCACATGCAAGGCAAGCGCCCCTGAGAGAGCAGCTTTCTAAGGAAGAAATAACCCCACACTCACGTTGTTAGTGTGGATATTCTCGAACTTCATGAGTTGGTGCTGTGCCAGTGATACTTGAGGAAGGTTCTGAAGGAATAAGTTACAGGTGCCACCCAGCACTGAGCCCTGTGAACGCAACAGAACCGAGGCCAGGTGAGTCTGGGAAAGCTGTGTGTCCGCTCTCCCGCAGATGGGAGCTGGAGCCCGGCTCCCCGCCATCCCACTTGACAATGTTGCACGAGGCAAGTGAACGGTCAGTATCAGAGGATGCGGCTGAGTAGCCGGCCCTTGGGGCTGCCTCTCCTCCTTTCTTTCTTCCCTCCTCCCCTTCCCTGTCCGTGCTGTTTTCTGGCTTTAGTGACTGACATTCCAGCATCTGCCTGTGCATCGAATCATTCAACAAGGACTCTGAGAGCAGCCTGAGGGCCTGGCAACGGGTGTGAGAGACCGAGAAACCCGTGCAAGGCAAACACCCTAAATAATAAATAAATAATAAGGTAAAGGTAAAGTACCTCCCGTTGATCATCGATTTGCTCGAGCGGGCCCAGTAACATCTCCATTGGAGACTTTGTTGTTACTGTGTTTGGCATATCGAATACGTCACGGGTGGCTTGCCAGGCTCTGCCGTGCGGGCGAGATACTCTCGGTAGCTTGCCGGGCTCTCCGAGAGGGGCAGAGGAATCAAACTTGGGTCGGCCATGTTGGCTGCGTGCAAGGCAAACGCCCTACCGCTGTGCTATCGCTCCAGCCCTTATATTATTATATATTAATATATTTTATTATTACATTATTATATTATTATATATTATAATAATATATTATTACATTATTATATAGACTATATTAGTACATATTATATATTATATATTAATATTATATATTTAATAAAATGATAAAAATAATAAAAATTAAAAATAAAAATACTGTGCAGAGAGGAGAGAAAACAGCAAGGAGCAACAAGGAGAACAGGGGAGGTATCCACTGCAGACTGGGCAGCCACAGGGGTGAGGGACCAAGTCTCCTGGGAAGACACATTAGGGTAATGGGGGGGGCTCAGCCACTGGAGCAGGAAGGCTCAGAAGCAACACTAAGCACTGGGGTCTTTTCTACACCCCCCTTCCCTTTATCCCCTAAAATAAAGGGACTGTCTGATCTGAAGGCCCTTCTTTCGCTCTTCGCACCTGTCTGGAATTCATTATCTCGCTCAGCTGGAATTCTGTTAAGACCCGAGATCTGAGGACTGACCCATGCAGGGTCCATGTGAACCCCCTGCAAGGCAGAAGGGTCAAGGGACTGCCCAGGACAAGGCTCCGAATGAAAGGAAGGCACAGCATCCTGACAACGATGTCTGGAAGGGATCACTGGGGACGGGAGATGTGTGCTGAAAGTGGGTAAGGCCCAAACATGATGGTCTCTCAGTATCTGTCTGCAAACCATAATACCTGAAAGGAGGAAGGCGGGGGCGGGGGAGAGAGGGAGGGAGGGAGGGGGGGAGGGAGAGAGAGAGAGAGAGAGAGAGAGAGAGAGAGAGAGAGAGAGAGAGAGAGAGAGAGGCAGGCTGAGGGTGAAGGGTGAGGTGGGGGTGGCAGGAGGGATACAAGGGATATCCCTGGTGGGAAACATACACAGATGACAGTTGGAACATTATATGATTAAAGCCAACCACGAAAGCTTTGGAACTGTATCCCACAGTGATTCAATTTAAAAAAAATTTTTTTGATTTTTAAAAAGGAAAGAAAGAAAGAAAGAAAGAAAGGAAAGAAAGAAAGAAAGAAAGAAAGGAAGAAAGAAAGAAAGAAAAGGAAGTTGTGGCCTTTTCTTTTAAAAGCTGCCTTTCAGGCCGGGGAGGTGGCTCCAAGGGCACGCGGGAGGCCCGGGTTCGAGCCCTGGCAACACCTGGTCCCCAAGCACCGCAAGGTGTGATCCTCAAAGAGAGACAACACTCCCTCATTCAGCCCACAGCCGGCATCTTCCCGCGAGTCTCTGGCTGGAGCCAGCCTCGAGAGACAGGACTCAGAGATCTCTGTTGGGACTGAGTCGGGTTTTGTTTTTCATTCTTTTGGTTGTGGGGCCACAGTGGAGGTGCCCCAGTGAGTAATGCTTACTCCCATCATTAGAGATACCTGGGTATGCAACACAACGGAAATACTTACCTGACAAGTATTATCTATTTGTTACAACCAGAAAGACACGGATTATTTGTATAAAATTCAATTAAGTTCTAAAAGGAGTTTTGTTCGCTCACTTGTTTTCTTTCTGTAGGCAATTTTTGGAGTTAAAGACCACGAGCCACACTTTCCACCTACAGATGCCTAGAAAAATATATCACAAAATACGTCTCTTTCCTTCTTAATGCCCTAGAAGCAGAAGCCAATGATATATATATATATATACATATATATATATATATAAAACCATGCTGCTTTGATTAATTTAATCTGATCTGATATGCTAAATTTTGATTCACTTAATTTGATCTGATATACTAATTATTTCACATGGGATTATTACTTTTAAATCAATTATTTTTGTTTTAAATCAATCACACGGGGAAAAAAATCAAGCACACGTTTAACTTCTTGAGAACTTTGTGGGAAGGACAAAAATATTCACTCCCGATATTTCCTGCGCTGGTGCTCGATGCTCTGAAATACCTGATGAGGTTTATTCAGATGTAAAAATGCAGGGGCGATGGAGGGACTCATCAGATGAGGCAAGCTGGGCGTTGTTCCAAGAACTGCTAGAAGAAAATAAAAGAAAACAGTTCCACTGCAGGCCCTCTGGAACTGAGAAACAACAAGCTCCAAAGGGCTACGTCAATATTTTTCTAAACTTTTAACAAATTCATTAGAAGTTCAATAATACACTGACCTTGGCATCGAATCTAAGTGATAGGGGCCTTTCCTGTGACTCAGCCCTGGAATTTGAATTAAAATTCCAGCACCTTGGCCGAAGCAATAGTCCAGTGGGGGGTGCACTTGCCTTGCGCGAGGCCAACCGGGATTCAATTCCTGGTATCCCATCTGGTTCCCCCCCCCACACCCCCCCAGCCCACCTGGAGTAAGCTCTCAGCACTGCCTGGTAGGGCCAGAATTAACCATAAAAAATAATTAAACTTCCAGCACCTTCCTTTCCACTGACAAAACACCAAACCGATGAGCCAATTCATCTCTAGCACTTAACAAAACTAATCTCATCATTTAATGGATAAAATATAACTGGAGAGGCAGGAGCGACAATACAGCGGGCAGGGTCCCCAAACACTGTCAGGAGTGATCCCTGAATGTAGAACCAAGAATAATCCCCAAGCATCACCGGGTGTGACCAAAAAAAAACACACCCCCAAAAATAAACAAAAATAAAAACCCCTACTATCTGGAGCCCACGTTACTGTCTCAGTAATTTTATTTGCTTTTTAGTTTTTGCGCCACACTGGATGGTGCTCAGGGCTTACTCCTGGCTCGGCAAAGAACAGAACCTACTCAGCAGCATACAAGGCAAGAGCCTTACCCACAGCACTCTCTCTCCAGCGCCTTTTACTCTGTGTGTGTGTGTGTGTGTGTGTGTGTGTGTGTGTGTGTGTGTGTGTTGGAGGGGGTGGGGAGAGTTTGGGAAGGATGGGATGCAATCCTTGTCACCGGAAAAACTAATCATCTCATTGGGAAGGAATTTATCTGCACATGAAACACTTAGATAATTCGTCGATATGCCTAGAGCAGGCCCCAGTAACGTCTCCTTCGTCCTAGCCCTGAGATTTTTTTTAAAAAGTGCCATATTCAAGGCTCTTTCAGAGTTAGGAGAATGAGACCCTTCATTGTTACTGGTATTTGGCATATTGGGTACGCCACGGGGAGTTTGCCAGACTCTGCTGTGTGGGCAGGTTATATTCGGTAGCCGGCCAGTTTGTCCAAAGTAGGAATGAGATGATAAGATGTCGCGTGGCCACAAATGCGGCCACGCGCTTCCGGGAGCTGGGTTTTATAGTCTCTGAGTCTTGGCCGTTGATGGGATTACACGGCGCCAGGGGGCCAGTTGGTGGGTGTGACCCCCGCCTACTGGAATTTGGAGGATCTGGGTGGAGGATGCTCAGCCCCGATCTGAGTAGGCTTGGAGATCTCGGCCCCGGAAACCGCGTGCCTTTGTTCCTCTGCCTGGCTGTCCTCGCCGGGGCCCCTTGGAGGGGAGTGGGTTGAGTTTTCCTCCCCGCCCCGACCAGGGTTCTGGCAGCCAAAGACCTCCAGAACCAGCCACCACCATGCTGAGAACACTCTCCGCACACATGAAGGTACCGGCAGAGGAACTTATATAATAAAAAGAAATAATTGTGGGGCCAGAGAGATCCTACAGAGAACAGTGCAAGGGAAGAACAGGAGGGCATGTACCCAGTTTGAAACGGGCACTGCCTGTGAGCAGGGGGCATGTAGCTCCCATACCACGGGCAATCAGAGAATGCCAGGGGCTGGGCGAGAGTACAGAGGGTCCGTGCAGCTGCCTGCAAGGTCTGGCCCGAGTTTCGTTCCCAACGCCGCTTGGTCTCCGAGCATCACTGGGCGTGGCAGTGTCAGATGTGGCTGTGTGTATCAGGGCCTGAGCACCACATCCTCGGGTCCCTTTGCTGAACCCACAGCCTGGCTGGCGGAGCATCCCTACCGCGGTCCTGCCTGAGCAAGACTTGGGAACCTCCCCCTGCACCTTCTAAAAAGAATGACCACTTCCTTTCTCCTTTGCCCAAGGGAGACCTCGGCGTGATCCTCACCAGAGCCAGAATTCCTGAGCAACAACCCCTCCACCCAGCGCTTCCAGGTGGGGTCCAAACACCAACCCCCCCAAAAAACAGAAAAGAATTCTCTCTCTGTAAGATCAGAATCGGAGGCTGGAGCGACAGGGCAGCAGGTTAGGTGCGCCTGGCATGCGGCCGACCTGGGTTCGATGCTCTGAGTGCAGAGCCAGGACTGAGCCAGGAAAAACAAAACAACAGAACAACCAGATGAGAAGCAAAGAAGCATCCGCTCAGACGGACCCCGCGTGCACATTATGCTGGGATTCTACCTATGGCAAGGAAGCAAGAAAAACTGACAGCCGCCCCTCGGGGACAGAGAAGTGGGAACCAGCCCCGTCCCCGCTTACCTGGCTTCACGGCTCGCCCGCACAGCTGGGGCTGCAGGAGCACCTGCAGCATGGCGGGATTGTTCAGACTCTTCATGATCTGCACGGGGTTGGGCTCCGGGAGCAGGCCCCTCTGGCTGCTGTGCATCTGCAGGGACCCAGACAGTGACGGGGAGGGGAGGTGAAAGGCTCTCCCAGACTCTCCCTCCCCGTCGTCACCGCTCGCTCTGTACTATGCGTCGGCTGGACACACTCCACACCAGGCCTCCACCGCAACACCCAAGCATTCCGCTGTGAAATGCATGCTGGTATCCAAGGCCCGGGAAAGCGGGGCCAGGAGGGCTGGTCAGTGGTTGGAAGCTTGCCACGAGTGGGGGGGGGGGGGGGGATGAAGGGCAGTTAGGAGAGAGAAGGGACCAGGATGAGAATAAATAGTTGGAAATGATCGCTCTGGACAAGAGCTGAGTGTTGAAAGTAGGTAAAGGGATATTCATGATAACCTTTCAGTACCTGTATTGCAAACTACAATGCCCGAGAGGGCGAGACAGACAGACAGACAGACAGAGGAGAGAGAGACAGGGGAGAGAGAGAGAGAGAGAGAGAGAGAGAGAGAGAGAGAGAGAGAACAGTCCCTGCCATAGAACTGAGTGCTGAAAGCAGGTAAAGGGATAACCATGGTGACCTTTCAGTATCCGTATTGCAACTATAATGCCCAAAAGGAGAGAGAGAGAGAGAGAGAGAGAGAGAGAGAGAGAGAGAAACAGTCCCTGCCATAGAGGTTGGGAGAAGGGAGAAGGAGGGAAACTGGGGATACTGGTGGTCGGAAAGGCATATGGGTGAAGGGACGGGTGCTGGAACATTATATGACTGAAATCCAATCATAAACAACTTTGTAACAATGTAGCTCACTTTAAATTTAATTTAAATTAAATTATTTAATTTTTAAAATAAATAATTTAAAAATACACACTGAAATTCTTCGAGAATGTGTCAGATGCAAACTGGCTTTCTAAGCGGACTAATCATTTAAGAAAATAAATTCCTTCACGCCATGTAAGTAGACACAGCAGGGTGTGAACATATTAACAGGAGTGAACTTGCTGAGCCAGTCTGAAGGAGGAAGACTTTCACAAACCTCACTCTAATGTTGATCTACTTGGTGGGGAGGGAGGGAGGTCACATCCAACATAGCTCAGGGCTTACTCCTGGCTCTGTGCTCTGAGATCACTCCTGGCAGAGTGGCAGAGAGCACTGTACGGGGTGCCTCGAAATGTCCAAGGAAGCCCAGACCCCACCCCAAGCCCATAGAGGCTCCACATTCACGGAGGAACTGACCGAATGGCTGGCAAGCTACATGGAAGGCAAGCGCCCTGCCCGCTCAACTCTCCCTCCAGCTCTTAAGCACTCAGTGTGAACTGGATTTGGAACCCCCCAAACACTGCCAGGAGTCAGATGTGATGTGGCCCCAAGAGAACTGCAAGCTAACCACAAACAGTGCCATAAACCAACAGAATTGACTGGAAGATGAGAACACTGAAGATGTAAAAGTAAACCTGTGCCATGAGCCATGAGAAAATGGGGAACTACGCAGAACAACTGCTCACACACCCCCAGTTTTGTGTGGACGAAACTTAGATGAGCCCAGTTGACCCCAAGAGCCTAATGAGAACCCGTGAGATGCCCCAGGGGAGAGAGAAGGTTCCAGACACAGAACCTGTGAGAATCCCTGATGAGAGAGAAGGTCCTGTACACAAAATCTGTGAGACACCAAGGTGAGAGAGAAGGTTCTGGACACAGAACCTGTGAGACACCCAGGTGAGTGAGAAGGTTCTAGACATAGAGCCTGTGAGACATCCAGATGAGAGAGAAGGTTCTGGACACAGAACCCGTGAGAAACCCTGATGAGAGAGAAGGTTCTGGACACAGAACCTGTGAGAATCCCTGATGAGAGAGAAGGTCCTGTACAAAGAACCTGTGAGACACCAAGGTGAGAGAGAAGGTTCTGGACACAGAACCTGTGAGACACCCAGGTGAGTGAGAAGGTTCTAGACATAGAGCCTGTGAGACATCCAGATGAGAGAGAAGGTTCTGGACACAGAACCTGTGAGACACCCAGGTGAGTGAGAAGGTTCTAGACATAGAGCCTGTGAGACATCCAGATGAGAGAGAAGGTTCTGGACACAGAACCTAAGAGACACCCAGGTGAGAGAGAAGGTTCTGGACAGAGCCTGTGAGACACCCAGGTGAGAGAGAAGGTTCTGGACAGAGCCTGTGAGACACCCAGGTGAGAGAGAAGGGTCTGGATGTGGTGCAAGGTGGTGGCGGCTGGGTCCATCCTTGCACAGGAGAGTAAGTGGGGACGGACTCGCTGTTCTGGTCTGTAACAGTGACAGTCTAGGCCAAGGGCAGAGCCGCTGCCAGGCCTCACGGTGCAGGAGCAAAGGACCTCCCCATCCAAGCCCCCACCACACCCCACCTGGCCAAACTTTGGACAGGAGTGAGACCAGGAGCAGCTCTGAGAGACATCTTGGCGACAGTTGAGGGGCTCTGTCCTGGGTCCCCAAACCCCAGCTTACATCAGGTTTCTGCTCCCCCCAAACACCCTCACCTCCTCGACCTCGAAATGTCCAAGGAAGCCCAGACCCCACCCCAAGCCCATAGAGGCTCCACATTCACGGAGGAACCGGCCCAACGGCTGGAGAACGAAGGGACAGAAACCGGAACCGGAAACTAACGGAAGAGAAATCACTGAAGGGAAAGGAAAGTGGAGACTCCCATCACTGGAGACAGAACCAACGCAGGAGGGAGAGTTCTGGGTTCCCAGCCAGGCACACGGGGTAAAGACCTAGTTCCCTTGCTCCTCTGGGCCACACCTGGTGAGGCAGAGCTGACGGTGTGGTGCAGGCATCAAACCCAGGACTCCCGCATATAAAGCATCCCCCAAGCCGTGTGTGTGTGTGTGTGTGTGTGTGTGTGTGTGTGTGTGTGTGTGTGAAATTTCAGAACAGGGAAGGAAAAACGCATGAAGCTAAAGCCTCTGGTGAGAAAGACTGCATCTCCCAAGAAACAGGAGGCAACCCGGTTCCTTCACTTCCAAAGCAGCAACACTGGGTTCAAGAAGACAAAGAACCAATAGTTTCAAGGTGTAGCAGGATTTTTAAAAAAAATGTGGAACTTAGATTTAATTTTTCAACGGGGCTCTGACTTACATATGTGACAACAATATTCCCAGCCACAGACATACTTGGCGTGTTCAGTACATGAACACAATTTCTGAAAAACCAGGAGAGAAATCGATGCAGAATGAGAATGTGTGACACATGGGACATTAAGTGATGGCACATGGTTCATTTTAATCTTACATGCAAAACCCAAGTCTGTTAAGACAAAAAAAGAATGTTCCTGGCAAAACCAATATGGAGGCGGGCAGGAGAGGAAAGGGGAAGTGGACGAGGGAGGGGAGCAGAAGAGAGGAGAGAGATGAGAAGGGAGAAAGGAAAAGAGAGGAGAGAGAGGGAAGGAGAGAAGATAGAGAGGAGAGTGAGGAAGAGAGAGAGAAGGAGAGAGGGGTGAGAGAGGAGAGAGAGAGAGAGAGACAGGGAGGAAACAAACCCAGAGGCTTGAGACATCATTGGGAGAGTTATACAGAGCCCAGTGCTCACACGGGAAGACCTTTCTCTCTGACCCAATACCAGACAGGAAATGGAAGCATAGGGGAGAATAATGTCTCACAGAGGATGGGGGCTGGGCTAGGGTCCAAGGAAAAGAGCAGAATGCTTGACCCCCGGCACTGCATGACCCCGCCAGCCAGCACTGTGGGCAGGAATGACCCCTGACACCTCTGGCCCCTGACTCCAATGCGTGTGGCATCCACAACATGGAAATTAAAAAAAATTTTTTTGACAGATGCTGCCAAAGATGTGACAAAAAGGAAACCCCAATGCACAGCTGGGAACGTTCACTGGCGCGACCACTGTGGAGGGTCCTCAAAGCGCTTCCCTACCGCATGCTCCCAAGTCTGTTCCAGAGAAGAGCTGGACCTTCTGGGAGAGAAGCCGCACACAGGCGCCACGATACGGAAGCCCCCTCGCCGCCCTCCCCCCCGCCCCCGTCATCCCTGATACAGTCCCTTTAACACCAGAAGACATGCTTTTAAAGCTACTCAGAGTAGCTATTAATTGGAAGGGAGAAGGGCAATTGTGGCTGTAGAGTTCAAAATCTGCAATATCAGCCACCTTCAAATTTGTATTACACAGGTGCGACCTGAGCTACAGAAGAAAAGCACTTGAAGTATGTTCACCAGGGGCTGGAGTGATAATCCAGCGGGCAGGACACTTGCCTTGCACGTGGGCAACCTGGGTTTAATCCCCAGCACTCCATATGGTTCCCTGAGCCCCACCTGAAGAGATATTCCCAGCTCAGTGCTCAGGGGCCATTCTCAGTGGTGCCAGGAAGGACCAAGAGGTACTGGGACTGGAACCCAGTCTCCTGCTTCTTGCAAGGCGTGTGCTCAGCCCCTGGCGCCAACTCTCAGGCCCGCCTCGTTCTGCAGCTGCGCGTCCAGGGAACTGGGAGAAGCCGCCCCGGCACTCAGCTGTGCGCACGTGCTGCTGACATAACCCCTCTCTCCGGGCTCTAGTCTGCAAGGCCTAACGCACACGGGACAGCTCCTCCTTCACACTGTCTCTCCACACACTCGGCACAGTCGATCCGTGCTCCCTGAAGGCAGGAGGGGAGGCACTTTTGAAGGAATCAAGGAAAGCATTGATGTCACCATGTGCTTTGCAGGGGTGTCTGGGAGGGGGGCGGCTAGCCAGAGAACCACACTTTTGAGCATGCATCCAGAGAAATGCGTTTGTGCATGCATCCGTCAGTTGAGACTTGTCTGAAACCTGTATTATTTTGCCTGTATTATGAGGCAACTCGGAGGAATGCATCACCAAGAACCTAGGGCAAAGCGTTCCCCACCATGTGGTGTGGGGGGTTGTGGAGTGGGGTGGCAGGATGGCGGGAAACTGGGCTGTGTGCAGTCCTTCTGTTGGGTTTGGAAGCAGAACGGGGTGGATCTGTCAGGTCCATAAGCAGTTGGTGCCGGGCTCAGAGCAAAGACCTTTGCTAACTTGCTTGGCTGCCTTGGATTTACACACCGATCCCATTTTTATTAATATCAATGCTTCGCTCCTTCGCCTACATCTCGATGACTGTCTGATGAACAGTTTTTTTTTTTCTTTTTGGATCACACCCAGCAATGCACAGGGGTTACTCCTAGCTCATACACTCAGGAATTACTCCTGGCGGTGCTCGGGGGAACCATATGGGTTGCTGGGAATCAAACCCAGGACAGTCACGTGCAAGGCAAATGCCCTACCTGCTGCACTATGGCTCTAGCCCCCTGATAGACACATTTATGGGTGTTTTAAACCATTTGTTGTTTTGTTTTGGGGCCACATCCTGCAGTGCCCAGGGCTTACTCCTAGCTCTGAGCTTAGCAATCACGCCTGGGCACATATATGGCCAGGGCGAGACTCTGAGCTGCCGAATCACCCCAGTCCCACAGCTCCTGGAGTGTGTGGCCACACATGTGGCCGCGTGCTGCCTCCCCGTTTCATAGAGCCGACAGCCCAGGAGGCACACAGCCAATTATCTGGAGAGTCGCACAGAAACCCACTAAGAAACAGGAACACCAGGGGGCTCAATTAGCACCAAACAGCTCAGTAAATCCCCATACAATCACCTTAGTAGCACCTTCATGGGATACATGTTGTAACAAACAATATAAAGGAAATGATTTTGTGCCTATGAAGGGGACAGGCTGGGAGTGGGTGGGAAACTGGGGACACTGGTGGAGAGAAGGTCACACTGGTGCTGGGATTGGTGTTGGGACACTTGAAAACCTGAAACAAATGTATGATGAACAACCTCATACATCCGGTGTTTAAATAAAGTTTCAAACTTAAAAAAAAAAGAGGCTCAGTATTTCTCTGTGCTCCAAGGAAGATCAAGAGACTCACCACGCGCTGGGCCGCTATGAGAGCTGCCAAGGTGCTCCGTCCTGGTGCTCCGGGGGCACAGAAGGAAACCTGGACCGGGCTCCCCTGGATGCTCATGCCGTCGGCGGCCCGCTGGACCTCCTCCGCCTGCTCCGCGGTGCTGTACTCCACCACGGCAAAGCCGCCCACATAGCTCCCTTCGTCCTGCGCGAGCTGAGGGAATGAGGTTTATTACAGAGCGAATCTGGCGTCACGTGCTACTTACTACAGAGCGATTCTGGTGTCATGCGGCTACAGCACTGCTGTCTCCAGTCTATGAGTTTCAAAATTCAAGAGCAAATACGTCGAGGCTTGAGGCCGGCAGAAATGTGCTTCTTTCTTGAAGAAACCAAAATTACTCTTTCTTTATTTTTCCTTAGATGCAGTAATTTTTCCAAGAGAGGAAACTTTTTTTTTCATTTCTACCAATAAACAAGATTCTTTCACATTTCTATTCTTTCGTGGGGGTGGGGTGGGGTTGAGGTTTTGGGGTGTTTTTTTTTTTTAAATTTAAATTGGATATTCGTGAGATAGACCATTACAAAGCTGTTCGTAACTGGGTTTCAGTCATACAATGATCCAGCACCCATCCCTCCACCAATGTATATTTCTCACCATCAATGTCCCCCATCTCCCACTGCCATCCCCCAATCCCCATACCCTACCCCCAACGTCCCTCTATGGCCCCCAACCTCCCTCTACGGGAGGCACTTTCCTTCTTGCTCTCTCTCTCTCTCTCTTTTTATGCATTATGGTTTACAATACAAGTGCTAAGAGGACTTGGTGTTTGTTGAGGGCATTCAGTATTTTTATAGAGACGGTAAAGTTGGAGTAGCTTTTTAGTTGGGTGGCAGCTTTGGGGTGTGGATGTGACTGCCGAGGCTCCCAGAAGTACAGAGAGGAGGGGGTTGGTAGCCCATCCTGACCTGGAGAAAGCCTGAAGATTTCAGTCACAAAACTCGCATACCAAAATTATCAGCAGATTATATCTTGGGGATGTCTGTCCTGAGACGGTGGAGTCAGGCCAGGAGTAAGGCGGTGATTTTGGATTGTGGAAGCAAGTGGCTGCCGGGGGCTCTTCTTGAGCAGTCCCCAGGCCAACCTGCCCTTGGGGGGGGTTAATTTTTTTGTGTTGGGGCCACACCTGGCTGTACACAGAGCTTACTCCTGACTTTGCGCTCACAAGTCATTCAGGGGACCATATAGGACACCAGGGATCAAACCCAGGTAGGCCACACGCAAAGTAAGTGCCCTACCCATTGTATTACCTCTCCAGCCTCCTAATTCTTTCAATTTCTAATTTATTTTAAAAAGTAAAATCCCAAACAATGGCAGACCCTATACATTAAAAAATACCTAGGGACTGGAACAATAGTACAGCAGGCAGGGTGCTTGCCTTGCAGACTACCGCGACCCAGGTTCAATCCCCAGCACCCTGTATGGTCAGCTGAGCCCACCAGAGTAATTCCTGAATGCAGAGTGTACTACCCCCACTAGAAAGGGGGGGGCAAGAAACAACTATAACTGATGATTCATATGAAAATATGAGAACGTGATCATTGAAACATTCTTTCAATCAAAATCACCACATGCACAGTGAATAAAAGAGCATAGAGCAATTATCTATATAAACATCTACATAAAATATACTTTATTACCAAGTGAAGAGAAATGGAGGGGCGCTTGTAGGATAACACTGTTTTGTCACACCCACCCCAGTGCTCCCGAGTCACTCCCATTCTTTTGTTTATCTGTAAACTCTTCTCTGCGCTCTCCTCCTCAGCCAGTTAATCACCTTATGTCTTTTGCATAGTTTACCTTAAAGCAATGTTCTTTCTGTATGGACACAGGAAGACAGTTAATATTATGCTTTGTAACTTGGGAGTTGATTGACTCTGAATAATATTTACTCCTGGGCATCTGCTTTCTTGACTCAGTTGCCCTTAGTTCCTAGCACCCCAAAAGCAGGGTCCCAACGAGGGACTGAATGGACCCAGGGTAAGCTGTGAGCTACCCTGGCATCAAAATGGGCCAGGCCAAAGCACCACGATACTCAACTATAAATTGAGGGCATGATCATGGACAAATGCTGTCATGATCCAAAAGTAAGTAGCGACGAGACAAGGACCCTGCTGGGGCCAGGAAGACTAACCTGGCCTGAGGACTGTGGGATGTATAGTGAGATGTTCTTGGGAAGAACCAAACTATAAATTTATATCTTTTACTTTGCTCCTACAGAATGACATTGCTAGAAATATTAGAAGTAGATTTACTACAACTATTTAAGTAAATTACTAGCTGAGGGAAGAACACACCCTTGTTGGGATCCCACCCTTGAGCAGATCTCCTAGTAATCTGGAGTAATCTCTTTAGATGAGATTTTATCCTTGAGTTAATCTCCTGGAGGAATGGTCTTACCTCTCTTTGTTGATTTGTTAATATTCAACGCACCTTTGTGTCACCGCCTTACGTGATTGCTATATAAATAAGACTGTAGGCTTGGGCTAGAGTTCCAGAGACAGAGCGAGAGGGGCTCAAACTTGAGAGAGAGAACAGCTGTCCTGATCCATGCCATACACAGCGACTCAAGAGCACCGAACGCGGGCAGTGAGACAGAGCCGTCCAGAGAGCCCACGAACACACAACCTTCAGCGTGCAAAGATTTTACAGGCGCTATTCAGCTTTTATTTCAATGGCTGAGGAGGTTTCAGGGATCTGGCGAAGGACACCTTATGTAAGAACACTGGCCCGTTTTGTTAAATGCCACATATAATATGCAACCTTTGCTTCCAAATGTGCCCTAAATAAATTCTTGCAATGAAGAACTCGATGTACTTCCACTCACAAAATCTAGAGTAGGAGTAAAGGAAGATACTAAAGTCCTGGACTTGTAAAACCTGGCACCAGAAACAAAAATAAGAACAAATGGAAAAAAAGACTTTCTAAACCTTGGCCAAATCTGCATCATCTTAAAGTCACATAATCATGCTATAATTGTGTGATGAATATGATGAAATTCAGCTTGGAATGATGTCCTTGGGAAAACATTTCTACTTGGATTTGCCATTACTATTGCAACTAAAGTTTAGTTAATATGATAATAATCTTGCCTTAGTCCCTTCTAATTTGCTTCCTCTTGGTTTCAAGCCCTGACTTTCTCCTACTGACTTAAATCATTTGACCAAATTTTTAGTTTTCTAATCTTTAAAGAAAACTTTAAAAAGCAGAGTTGACCACATGGAAGCCAAGTGCCTTACCCGCATCTCTCTGGCCCTAGAACAAAACATTCTTTCTAAACCTTCCTATCTTCATCATGTCGCTCTTCATACAGAACTTACAACAACCAGCTTTCTTGTCTGTTTCTGCTCCCAAATTGTGAGAAATTATCATTCAGTTCTCCTTCAAGACCTATAGAAATCTTGTCTGGCACAGACCAGGGAATAAATGGGATGAATGACAGAGTGAAAAGGTACGTTCACCGTATCACAAGAGGCTCTCCAAGATGTACCTGACTAACCTTCTCACCAGACTGTCCACTAAAGAGAATGACTTCACACAGACTATAAAGCAAAGTCTTCATGGTTGTCTGCAGATGACTCAGTGTGATATGCATACACTTGTGCATGCACAAAGACCACATAAACAGACAGTTGTGTGTGCACACAGGCCATGTACATAGACACTTGTGGGTGCACAACCACATATATAGATAACTGTGGTTCACATGGACCATATACATGGATGCTTGTGAATATACACAGACCATGTACACAGATGCTTGTGGATGCACACAGACCACGTACACATACATTTGTGGATGCACACAGACCATGTACATGGACACTTGTGAGTGTACACAGACCACGTACACAGACATTTGTGGGTAAACACAGATCATGTAGATGGGCATTTGTGGGCGCACACAGACCACGCACACAGACATTTGTGGGTACACAAAGACTATGTACGTGGACACTGTGGATGCACACAGACCACGTACATATACATTTGTGGATACACACAGACCACATACACAGACATTTGTGGGTGCACACAGACCACGTACACAGACATCCATGGGTGCACATAGACCACACACACATACATTTGTGGGAGCACACAGAACATGTACATCGACACTTGTTAGTGGATACAGACCACGTTGATAGGCACTGTGGCTGCACACAGACCTCATACCCAGGCTGGATGTTCTTAACTATTTCCCATCATCCCTTCCAGATCATACCTGGCAGAACACAGGCTTATGGATACTGGAGAAGCACTGAAGCAGCTCCTCGGAGTCGCTGTAGTCGCTCGGAAGCTTGTCTATACAAAGGCACTTAGAATGCACCAGCTCAGCGGCCAGCAGGTTCACGTCCATCCACTGCGCGAAGAGCGCGGAGGTGCCCACCGGCTTGCCCAGGAGCTCCAGGCGCGCCTTGGCAGCAAAGTCCTTCTTCATGTACTCCACGAAGCCGTAGCCCTTGGAGAGCCCGGTCTCCTCGCTGTAGACCAGGAAGCATCTCTCAATGTTCCCGTAAGCGCGGACCAGCTCTTCGAACTCCTCCAGCGTGAAAGCAGAGGGCAGGTTGGTGATACACAGCAGGGCGTCCGTGGGCTGCAGCTGGACGATCAAGTCCTTCCCCCGGAACGAGTATTGATGAAACGTCTGGATGGCTTTCTGGGCTTGCTCCCCGTTCAACAAGGTGACAAAAGCTGGAAGGGAACACGATGAATTGAGTTTTTCTAAGCCCGGGTGTTTCAGATCTCATGGACCGTACAGCACAGTTAAGAAACGGCCCATGTGCGACCCAGCATAATACGCTACATGCATCTGAAACAGAATAATGGGAAATCATACTTCTACCATATGCAATGTGAGTATTTTCCCTTCTAGTCCACTAAGTTGGTTTATTCACCGTCTTAGCGACACAGTCAGCCGTGCTCAGGAGCTACTCCCAGCCCTGTGCTCGGGGGTCACTCCTGATGTTCAAGGGACAAGAGGTGCTCAAAATCCAAGCCGGCCCACTGAGCTCTCGCTCCACCTCCCCTTGTGGTTCTTCATGCTGGCACCCCATCAAACTAATCTTATGAGCAGGAACTGAAAACATAGGAATGATCTTAGAAACTCCATGAAAAGAACCAAAACATCCTAGAGGATTTATTTTTCTATAGGGGTGAGGGTGTTCTTTTCAAGCTATATTTACCATTGACTCCACCCACCCCCCGAAAAACAAACAAACTGAGGCAGGGATAAAGAGGTGAGCACAGGTGGTAAAGGCTGGGCAGGTATCAATCCTCAGCACCACAAATGGCCCCCTGAGCACCTCTGGAGTGATCCCTGAGCACAGAGCCACAAGTAAGCCCTGAGCACCACTGAGCATGTGTGTTCCAAGATTCTTCCTCCAGGTCCACAAATGATATAAACTATAAACTCCTGGTTCTCAATAAAATAGCCAAGCCTGTTTGGACCCCTGATACCACGCCGGGTCCCCTGAATACAACCGGGAGTGATGCCTGAGCAAACCATCAGGATTAGCACCCCAAAACTAAGATGCAAAATAAAGTTTAAAAGAGACCACTCAGGAGGCCTCACATACTGTTGGTGGGAAGGTAAAGGGGCGTGGTGGAAGCAGTCAGGGGCTGAGGTGGGACGCTGCCCACCTCGCAGGAGTGAGGTGTGGGGTTCCATCACTGGTTTCACAAAAAAATAAGCAAAAGCAAAATATTTAAGTAACACAACCACAGATTTGAGAATGGAACATGAAACATGGTTAACATTTGATTCTATACAGGGTATTTCTGGTTTTTGTTGTTGTTGTTGTTTTTGTTGTTTAATTTTTAGGGGCCACAGAGACAGCAGGGCAAGCCAGGCTCTTTCCTTGCACGCAACCAACTGACTTGGGTTCCATCCCTGGCACCACATAGGGCCCCAGATTACCACCGGGAAAGACTCTTTGGCACAGAGTTCAGAAGAGGCCCTGAGTACCACCGGCTGTGGCCAAACTCCCCCTCCAAAAAAAGATGGTTTTACAAGACATTTACAAGTACACAGCAAAAATGATTTTGTTTAGCCTTTCAATATCACAAATATAAAACAAATCTGCAGAAAAATGAAGGGATTTCTCCCAACCTGTCCAGCTAATAGTAACAATATTAAATTGAAGGATACCAGTACTATATTAAACCTTCAGGTGGACATTATTAATGCACTGTATTATATCATCTGATTATGAGACCCGTAAGACTTGTGAATAACACCTGTAGGATGATCTGATACTGTGAAGAATATCACAGATTAGTATAAGCTTGCAAAGGCGCTTTTCTGGTTTACAACGAGCATGTGCAGATTCAAAATGAAAATCAGAAGCTTAAAACTGCAATCTCACCTGTTCGTTTATTTCTGTCCAAGTAACAGTACTTCAACTCATAATCTTGGAGCAAACTGTGGACCTCCTGAAAGAGAAGAAGTGGGTTTGGTAAGAAACAAATGTCTGGGGCTGAAGCAATAGCACAGCGGGTAGGGCATTTGCCTTGCACACGGCCAGCCCAGGTTCAATTCCCAGCATCCTATATGGTCCCCTGAGCATCACCAGGAGTAATTCCTGAGTGCAGAACCAGGAGTAACCCCTGTGCATTGTCGGGTGTGACCCAAAAGAGGAAAGAAAGAAAGAAAGAAAGAAAGAAAGAAAGAAAGAAAGAAAGAAAGAAAGGAAGGAAGAAAGAAAGAAAGAAAGAAAGGCAGGCCACCAGTGGACCGTCCACTGGTTTCAGCCACCATCCCCAATGTCACCCCTGGGGAAATGCTCCTCGGTGGCTCCCGTTAACGCACTGTTTGGCTCCCTGTGGCTACAAGCATCTGAGATCCCCAGCGGGAGTCCTGATCGACCTTCCTCCCCACACACATGTCCTACATCAGGGGCTGGAGTGATAGCACAGAGGGGAGGGCGTTTGCTTTTGCCTTGCATGCGGCCAACCCGGGTTCGATTCCCAGCATCCCAATTGGTGCCCCCAGCACTGCCAGGAGTGATTCCTGAGTGTAGAGCCAGGAGTAACCCCTGAGCAACGCCTGGTGTGACCCAAAAAGCAAAAACAAACAAACAAAACCAAAAAAACCAACATATGTCCTACATCAGCCCATGTGCCTGCTCAGAGAACAGCCACTGGCTGGTGGATCAGCTGCACAGCACCCCGAGTTTCTATTCAAACTGGCTTATCTCAGGGCAGGTAAACCAGAAAGCACGGGATGGGGGGGACCCTGTAAAATCAGGGCTGGGAGATGGCCCCAAGAGCTGCAGCTCATGTTGTGCTCGCAGGAATCCTGGGCTTTGAGCCCTGCACTTTATGGCCATCTGGGTGACACAGGTGGGGGTGGGGGAACCCCTGGAGCACCCAGTCGGGAATAGCCTGGGAGTGTTGCCAGTTGTAGCCCCCAAACTGAAAACTCAAAATAGTCCTGACTGCAACCTCCCAAGGCACGGGAGAGCAAGGTGTGATGGAGCAAAGCTCACACATCGCTAACAGTGGGTGAAGATAACCACCTAGGGACTGGAACGATAGCACAGCGGGGAGGGCATTTTCCTTGCATGTTGCCAACCTGGGTTCAATTCCCAGCATCCCATATGATCCCCTGAGCACTGCCAGGAGTAATTCCTGAGTTCAGAGTCAGGAGGAACCCCTGAGCATCGCCAGGTGTAAACCCACCCACCCCCCAACCCACCCATTCCCCCCAAAAAAGGGCAAAAATAAATAATTAAAAAGATAATCACCTAGTGAGAGTGAAGGGAAGCTGACGAGCTAGGATTTCTTTTGGTAAGAGTTGGGAATACTAAAATTAATGAAATTGAGTTAATTAGTGAGAGAGCTGGTGTGTTTTATTTTATTTTATTTTTTACAATATTTTTTTCTTTTTGGGTCACACCCGGAGATGCACAGGGGTTACTCCTGGCTCTGCACTCAGGAGTTACTCCTGGCAGTGCTCAGGGGACCCTATGGGATGCTGGGAATTGAACCGGGTCGGTCGCGTGCAAGGCAAACGCCCTACCCGCTGTGCTATCTCTCCAGCCCCGAGCTGGTGTGTTTTAAAATACAGAGCACATATCCTTGGAACAGAATAAAGAACAACTCATGAACCCACCTTTGTTTAAATGGTTTGAAAGATGAAAGGTTTCTGAAATTGCCTCTAGGAGACCCCTCCCAGACTCCGGGCACGTCCCTGCCTCCCTTTCCCTTTACTTTAATAAAGACTTTTCTGAATTCAACAAAAGAAATAAATGAAATAGATACACTTGGGGCCCAGGGATGTGGCTCGGTGGCCGAGTCTGCCCGGCAGGTTGGGATGTGGGTTCAATTCCAGGCTCCACCCTGCATTGCTCAGCGGGTAGGGCGTTCGCCTTACAAGCGGCCAACGTGGCCGACCCAAGTTCGATTCCTCCGCCCCTCTCGGAGAGCCCGGCAAGTTACCGAGAGTATTCAATATGCCAGACACAGTAACAACAAAGTCTCCAATGGAGACGTTACTGGGCCCGCTCGAGCAAATCGACGATCAACGGGAGGGCCTTTACCTTTTACCTTTTACCCTGCATTGCTCAGTGTCATCACATCGTAGCTGGACTCAGATGGGTCCCCAGGCCAGTGAGATCTCCAGTGCCCACCCAAGAATCCCATCCCCACGAGTACTGCAACCACATGTGGGACCTCAACGCTGCCACAGCAACAGCCACAGACACTGGGAATTACATACACTTACCGGTGTGGTGAGACATTTGTTGGTGGACTGGATAGTGATAAAATCAACATAAGGATTTGCTGATATGCTGCTGTGTTGATGATTTTACCTGGAGAAAGCCCATGTTTTCTTGGACTTAAAAAACCTACTGCAGGGTTGGAGTGATAGCACAGCGGGTAGGGCGTTTGTTTGCACGCGGCTGACCCAGGTTCGATTCCCAGCATCCCATGTGGTCCCCTGAGTACCTCCAGGAGGAATTTCTGAGTGCATGAGCCAGGAGTAACCCTTTTGCATCGCCAGGTGTGACCCCCCCAAAAATAAAAGACCTACTGCATTCATAACCACCTTAGAAACAACCTATTATGTTCATAACCATCTCAGAGACAACCTACTGCATTCATAACTGTCTTAGAAACAACTACGTGGGGTTAGAGTGATAGAACAGCAGGTAGGGCGTTTGCCTTGAACGCGACCAACTGGGGTTCAATCCCTGGCATCCCATATGGTCCCCTGAGCACCATCAGGAAAAATTTCTAAGTGCATGAGCCAGGAGTAACCCCTGAGTATCATTGGGTGTGACCCAAAAGGCCAAACAATAAAAACAAACAAACAAAAAACAACAACCCCAAAACCTTACTGCATTCATAACCATCTTCACATGTCAGAAGTGTCACCAGCTCCCTTTCCTCCTTCCTGTGTGTGACATCAGAGGAGACGCCATGAGGCTTTGCTCCACAGCTCCCAGCTCCACAGACAAATAACCAGGTCCACTACCCATTCTTTTTTTTTAAATGTTATTATAACTGTGATTCACCAAGTTTATAAACAACTTGGCAAATCGATGTTACAATAATTTTGTTTGTTTGTTTTTTGGGTCATACCCAGCGATGCTCAGGGGTTACTCCTGGCTTTGCACTCAGGAATTACTCCTGGCGGTGCTGGGGTACCTTATGGGATGCTGGGAATTGAACCAGTGTTGGCCATGTGCAAGGCAAACGCCTTACCTGCTGTGCTATCGCTCCAGCCGCCAGAGCCTGGCTTCTTACACTGCTTTGAGACTCTACATGGGGTGGTGAAATTTTTTTAAAGTTTGTTTTAAAATTTATGTGATCTGAAGAAATTTGAGCTGGAGTGACAGCACAGTGTGTAGGGCGTTTGCCTTGTACATGGCCGACCGGGCCGACCGGGCCGACCTGAGTTTTATTCCTCCCCGCCTCTCGCGGAGCCCAGCAAGCTACCAAGAGTATCTCGCCCACACGGCAGAGCCTGGCAAGCTACCTGTGATGTATTCGATATGCCAAACACAGTAACAACAAGTCTCACAATGTTACTGGGCCCACTCGAGCAAATCAATGAACAACGGGAGGACAGTGACAGTGCTTTAAAATTTATTATTATTATTATTATTGCTTTTTGGGTCACACCTGGTGATGCTTAGGGGTTACTCCTGGCTCTGCATTCAGGAATTACTCCTGGCGGTGCTCAGGGGACTATATGGGATGCCGGGGATCGAACCCAAGTTGGCCGCAAGCAAGGCAAACGCCCTACCCACTGTACTATCGCTCCAGCCCCCACAATAAAAATTTTTACAACTGTTTCAGGCATTCAAGGTTCCAGCTCCAATCCCACCACACATGTGACCTTCCTTCCACACATTGCCAGTTTCCCACACACACACCCTAAATTTGCCCCCTTATAGCAGGCACAAACAAATTTAACTTCATACTGCTTGCTATAACACAAAGGCAAATGGAATGATGAAAAAATTGATTTAAAAAAATCAATTTGTGATCATGGTTACTGTATCTCACAATGGTATTAACTGAAGTCATTGGGCATCACTGTGTCCTGTTACTCGTTCAGCTGACCTGAGCCTTTTCAAAGATGCACACGGTCATGCAGACATTTTGTTTTCAAACCAGGGACATTTCTTTTTTACTCATCTTTTTAATTTTTAATTTTTTGCTTTTTTGGTCACACCCGGCGATGCTCAGGAGTTACTCCTGGCTCTGCACTCAGGAATTACTCCCGGCAGTGCTTGGGGGACCATATGGGATGTCGGGGATTGAACCTGGGTCGACTGCATACAAGGCAAACACCCTCCTTGCTTTACTGTCAGGGGGCATAGTATTCATCTTTAAACGCCCATTGCTTTCGAACAATCCGATGTCACATAGAGATTTTTGCCACTTCCGATCCCTTTGCAAAGCTTCCTTCTGTGTTCTGGATGTTCTGACCATGGAAAAAGTGGGTCATCTTCAAGCTGAGCCTGGGTTGCTGTGTCCGATTAAAAGCTCAAAATCCGAGTCTAACAACTGCCTGGCCAAACCATGCCCAGCATGGTCCTTGATGAGCACTGTCTGTCCCTGCACGGGTCCAGCCCCAATGTCTGGGTGAGCCAGGCAGCACTGGGCTCCTAAGGCCCCGGGGCAGTCGGAGCCTCCAGAAGCTCCAGAGCCGATTCCCTGCCTCCACCCCCCTCCGCGCCCCTTGCAGGCAGCAGGAAGTTCTACACCCCATGTGCAGTGCCCTGGTTTTTAACTGCTGACCAATGGGCATCTTCATCACACTGAGGGCTTAGCAGTAACCGCTGCCACACACCCGCCCCGTCCATAAAGGACAAGGCAGCCCGAGCATCTGTCGGACGCTCCTATGGTGCCTCTAGAGCACCTGTATCTACTCGAATCTGGTGTCTCTCCCAGCACACTTTCCTTTCTTTGTATTTTTT